GATATCCTTATCTTCTCTAAGACGGAAGAAGAACACACGGAACACATCCACAAGGTACTACAAACACTATAAAACGCCAACTTATTAGTAGAACCCGAGAAAAGCAAATTCTACGCCTCGGAAGTAAAATTCCTCAGACATATTATCTCTTATAATAAGATACGCATAGATCCTAAGAAGGTCTTAGCAATCAGGGACTAAAAGGAACCAACTAACGTCAAGGAAGTATAAGCCTTCCTCGGATTTACTAACTACTACCACAAGTTTCTTAAGGCATTTAGGAAGATAGCCGCACCATTAACAGAACTCACGAAGAAAGACAAGATCTTCGCATTTAGGAATAAGGCCAAGGGAGCCTTCGACAAAATCAAGGAACTCATCCTAAGCGAGCCAATACTCAAGATATTTAACCCATCTCGACTAATCGAGCTTAAAACAGATACTTCAGACTTTATACTAGGCGCCCAGATCGGATAACGAGATAACAAAAGACAACTACACCTAATCGCATTCTACTCCCATAAGCTACACAGAGTAAAACTCAATTACCCCATCTACGATAAAGAATTCCTCGCGATCATTAACGCATTCAAGGAGTTTCAACACTACCTCCTAGGAAGCCAACACCAAATCAAGGTCTACACAGACCACAAGAACATCTCTTACTTTGCGACAACCCAAGAACTCAGCGGACAATAACTACGATACGCCAAATACCTCTCAGAATTCGACTACGTCATTATCCACATCAAAGGATCAGAAAATAGCAGGGTAGACGCCATCAGCCGAAGACCCGACCTAGACACAAGAAAAACCCGAACCAAGGAACAACTACTACACTCCACACCCAAAGGATACCTACAACAACGAACTATCGCATACGTCAAACAGCGGCGATATCTAAACGCAACCTACATAGTAGAACAAGGCAATCTACTCCTCACGAAGATCCTAGAATACAATAAATAACTCCCAGACAATAAAAACACGAATAAGCAACAAGTACTAGAGGAATTACGATATAATCTCATATGCGAAATACACAGTCACTAGTTACACGGACATCAAGAAATCAACAAAACCCTAGAATAAATTAAGACGATATATACATTTCCTAATATGAAGAAAATTATTTCGACAATCATCAGCCAATGCGACCTTTACGCGAAAACCAAGGCACGACGCCATAAGCCATACGGCAAGCTATAGCCCCTACCGGTATCTCAACTACTATAGGAAGCTATCACAATAGACTTCATCACGAAACTACCTCTATCAAAAGAACTAGCCACCAGTAATTTCTACGATAGCATTCTTATCATCGTGGATAGACTCACGAAATTTTCCTATTTTATACCCTATAGAGAATTAACAACAGCCGAAGAATTCGCCTACCTTTTCTACTTCCACGTTGCCAAAATATATAGCATACCACTTAAAATCATCACAGATCGAGGACCACTATTCGCTTTAAAATTCTAGCAAAGCCTTATAGGATACCTAGGAATTAACCATAAACTCTCCACCGCATATCACAAGGAAACAAATAGACAGACAGAACGCATAAATTAAACACTAGAATAATATCTCCAATGCTATATCAACTACGAATAAACTAACTAGGTTAAAAAGCTACCAGCCGCCCAGCTAACTTACAACACAGCCATAAATAAAAGCACAAAGATCATACTAGCCTATGCTAACTTTAGATTCACGCCAGACGCATACCAATAAACACGAGACACTATCATTAACCCCAAGGCAATCCTTACCAGCGACTAACTAAAGAATCTACACAAAGAAATAAGAACGGAACTCAAGTTCATTAGAAATAGGATAATGAACTACGCTAATAAGAAAAGGATCGAGGGACCGATCTTCTCGGAGGGAGACATAGTCTACCTTGCAACAAAAAACATTAAAACAAAACGATAAAACAAAAAACTTAACTATAAATACATCGGACCCTACAAAATCAAACAAAAAATCTCGAAATATAACTACAAACTAGACTTACTACCTAAGGTTAAGCTCCACCTAATCTTTCATATTTCATTACTTAAATCAGCATAGAATACTATCTAAGTCAAGGCTAGTAATAAACCGGAAACCGAAATCGACAGACCAGAAGAATATATCATAGAAGCCATCCTCGATATAGACAAAATCAACGGCAAAACAATATATTTCGTTAAATAGAAGGATTACCTAGACTCTGAAAACACATAGGAACTACTAGAGTACCTCACTAGTGCATAGCGCCTCCTAAAAGACTTCCACCGGCAAGTTCAGAAGAAGGCAAGGAAAAATCCCTAAGACTCAGGGAACCCCAGTCAATAAGATCTATATGCACCAAGGACTACACATCTAGGATAGCCTCAGACTCTACTACCTCTGGCTCATCTAGATCATCTATCGACTCGAGGTTACGACGAGTTATCTCCGTCCCTTTCGAAATCAAAGAACGACGCTGCGTATGCAACCGAGACAAACGAGCCAAAGACTCCTCTAGCTCTTGCTGACGAACTGCCAACTCTCTCTGCGCCTGCGCTAGGGACGCACGGCGGGCTTATAGAAGCTCCTCCGCCGCAAGTTCCTCAGCGTTAATCCGCTTTGCCTCGGAAATAATTCTCGACACTAGAATCGGGTCAATCATAAGTGCCTATGCTACAACCACAGGAAAGTACTCACGGGAACATAGAGGAACCCCCGTCACATCACAAGAACGACCCAAACGGGTACACAAACCATATTTCTTACCCCCGTCGACTATCTTATAGATAGCCCCGCGGGCTTAACAACGAGTACACAGCATTACAATAAAACCAGCGTACTTAATAAATTCCGCAGAAATATAGCGACGACGGGTAGAATCAGCGGGTTCGGGATTATCGGATTTCTTTTGTTTTTTAGAAACACGGCTAGATATCGTGTCAATATATGTCAGCAGGAGGTTAAAGAAGCAGAACGCAAGACCAACCGGGTTAGGGAACAATAGCTACTTATATGGCCTTAAGGGCAAGACTAACAGAGGGGAGACCTCATATTACGGCCCAGTACCAGACCAGGCGGTCTAGCAAGGTAGAAAACCACTACGTGACAAAGACGCTACAGAAGTAAGCAGGACCCACCATAATACGAGTGAGCACTTATACGTCGCGCTTACCCGCGACGGTATAAGGGCAGTGAGCAAGTAAGCACCACGGGTTCTACCCCGGTAAGCACCCCAAGTATATAAAACGCACTTATTACACTTTCCTATATAGTAGCTACCTCAGCTATCAATACCACTTAGTTACACTCAACACCTTGAGCACATTACCAGACGTAATATTACACCTCGTTTAAGATAACACTAATAATCCTCTGCTAATATAAACCCAGTACGACCGGTTTATCCCTTGGATCCAACCATACCGTCACAGGTATATAAGAGGCTATAGGGATTAGCTATAAGTCTACTTCCTCGAGTAGAGAAGTAAGAAGCTATAAGGAATTAAGAAGATCTAAGGGATTAAGAACCTAACTTTGCGGTAGATTATTTATATCGTCCTCTATCTTATCTTTGACCTCGATTTTATCCTCTACCTCCTCCTAAGTTTCCTAATCGTCGTTATTAACCATCATAGCATTAAAATCTCTATCTTCTACGCCTCCCGCCTCGTAGCCTACCCATATACTCTCGTCTAAAGCTACAGCGATAAGACAACCTACTAGTAAATCATTAGAGAAGATTTCCTCCTAAGAATTAATAGTTATATAGGGACCGATAAGAAGACCCTCTATTATTTTCTTCCTATACTATAGGTTCCTTTCCTTTAGTTTCTTAATATTATCCTAATTAATCTTGAGTCTCTTAGTCCGAGGATTATAATTCCTACCTAAGAGATTATATCTATCCCGAAAAGCATACTAGAAGTCCCTTAGATAATATAGCTTACTCTTTAGAGTCTTATATTCCTAAGAGATATTACTTTACTTCTCTTAGAAGCCGGGAATAAATCCCTCTAATATATTACGGACCGGTCTAGCTTTATTAATATTTAAATTACCATTCCGGCGAGCTTCTAGTAATCTCTAAAGGAAATATAATATCTAATTATTAGTCTAGTACTAGCCCCGATTATTATAAGATTATAACTTAGCTAATTACGTGCTAGGATCGCAAGGGATAAAAGATAGTATCTTTGATCCCTCCTATATAGCCGGCAGCGACGGGGGGTTCTTTTTAGACCGCTAGCGGGGCCATAAGAGTAATATCTCTTTAATTTATATATATTTTCTATAGGAGTTATAGGGGTAATACTCTTCTTCTCGAAAATCGCATCCTAAGGCGTCGAAATTAAGGTCTTAATGCGATATATTTACTTCCTCGAGATTACGGCCGTGATGACTTTACTATAATACTCTGATAGGCACGGGAAGGCGGTTAGGGCCCTCGCCCGTTGAGGAATAGCTATGAACTTGACGGGGTTTTGGGTATAAGACGGTGGCTGCGCTAATTTTATGCGATAGGATGTCTCTTCCGATAACAGGGATCAATCCGGGCCCCGTTCATGATCTGGGCCTTAGTATCGCCATGATCAGGCGAACATCGAACCTCAGGCATATTTATACACTCTAATAATTCTGAAAGATTTCGTGTTCCAGTGTGGATCGTGTCTGCTCTTACGTGTACGTGCACCGCCCTACAGAAGCATTAGAAGGCGCTGTTGAGATTCGCCAACACATTGTTTGCTTAATTTCAAAGTTGCAGGTTGCCTGGTCTGCGGGGGTGCTGACTTATCACGAGGACATCTGCGGCTGAATATTTGCTCAGAGCCTTGTCTGGGCTCTTGGCTGACTGACGTTTCTCACACCACAGATCTCGCAATTGGAAATACAGGACTAGGGTTACTCGGACTCAGCCGCACAGCAGTCAGTCCCACGCACCTCTCAGGTCCATGATGAGCTCGTTGCCGCGGTATGTCTATGACCCCTTGGATTAAGACATCCAAGAAATCAGGCTCTTGACGGTCTTACCGTCACATGACCGAGAAGACCCCATCCACTGTACCTTGGCCCGCACGCCGGTCTCTACTGCTCAGGCGTACAAAGCCCTCTCATACGTATGGGGCGATTCCTCAAGCACGGTCTTTATAGTGCTCGATGGAGCCGAGGAGCAAATAACGACAAGCCTTGACACTGCTTTGAGATACATTCGCCATCCTACCGACCCCCAGGTATTCTGGATCGACGGTGTCTGCATCAATCAGGCCGACACCTCAGAGCGGGGCGAGCAGGTGATGCTCATGGCCGAGATATTCCAGAAAGCTGATGTCGTCGTGGCCTGGCTCGGAGAAGAGCAGGATGACAGTGCTATGGCTCTGGACATGATCTCAAAGTTCTCCGGTGTTTGGATGGGCCACATGGACAGGGGGATTAATCCCGGCGAGGGCCTGAGAGGCGTTTCTGACGCCTTCGAGTCGAGAGTTTGGGTCTCGATGGCCAAGCTCTTCATGAGGGCTTGGTGGACCAGATTGTGGATCTATCAGGAAGTCATCCTGGCTCGCAATGTCATCCTTCGCTGTGGACAGTCCTCCATCGACTGGAACGAACTCACGAGCGCCTACTTACTCCTGCGTGCCTTGCTTCTCCCACACAACGCGCAATACTTGGAAGTTAGAGACACCGGCCAGGTTGTCGTCGTCATGGACATTTCGTCCTGGACATCGTTGGTCATCGACCGTTGGAATCGACACACCCAAGCCCAGCTGACGGCCCAGACGACCCTGGTCCAGCTCCTCCGGAACTGTCTAAGTAGGCAAAGCACTGACCCACGGGACCGCTTCTACGCCGTAATGGGGATGGCCGTGGACGCCGGAGACTTTGGGAAGCCGGATTATAACAGCTCTGTCGAAAGGGTGTACGAGAACTATGCTCGCACCATCATCAGCCGCGATCGGTCTCTTGCTCTGCTGTGCTACGCCAGAAGCGCAGTCATCACCCCAGAAGTGGGAGCCAGATTCCCCCTGGACTCGGCCGTCTTGCCGTCCTGGGCGCCTCACTGGGTATGGGGCTTGCAAACCTCGAGGATTGATCCATCCGCATACAACGCCACGCCATCGACGCGAGCTGAATGCCATTTCGCACCAGGAGAACTGTATGCCAGCGGGGCCATGATAGATGCCGTAGCGGATATTGTTTTCCAGCCCTTCCTAGGCAAGGAGAAGAGACGCTGGGTCGAAGTTGCCACGAGACCTGGTCTGTCCGTTCCCTACCCAACTGGCATCCCGCGGCTGCAAGCGTTCTTCCGCACTCTTTTGGCGGATTGCTCCGGTCCGGGTATGCCACGCCTGGATCCCAGCTCGGAAGAGTTCGCCAACTTCGCTGCGTCTTTTCTCTTCTTGCTCCCGGGATTCATCTATGACGATGGAAAGGTATTGTTTGAGACAGTAGAGGCAGAAGAGAAGCCAGACTACGTGCTGGGATTCCTCAAACTTGTTGAGAGCGAGCATGTCAATATGCCCACTCAACAGCTTCTTGATACCTACTTCGGCCCAGTTTTCCCGGCTGTGGAGACAGATATGCATCGAGGACGGCACAGCACCAAGACGTACGCTATTACAGAGTCACGAACCACTAGAGGCCGGTACTTTTTTATGACGAAGAACGGATATATGGGCCTGGCCTCGTCGATAATCCAGAGTGGAGACGGCATCTGGATTTTGCCTGGATGCCCACTTCCTCTAATTCTTCGTCCATACGGGGACAGTTTCGTTCTTGTAGGAGAATGCTTTGTTCTCGGCTTGATGGATGGTGAAGCTTTGGACATGATTGGGGAAGATGACGGGCTGAATCCACTGCGGCAACTAAGGCTGAGATGAGCAGGAGCTGGACGGCCTACGACGCGAAGATTCAAGCTGAGACGATTTCATCGCAAGTCCATAACCCAGTCTGAGCCCGGGTCCGATCTATTTCATACAGAATGCACATCTTCTTTGGCTTCGACTGTTCTGTGCTATAGGGACAGCTTCTCAGTCATGTGCTCCTTCATGCCCCTCATGTCGAAGCTGCACCAGCAACGGATGCAGAGAGCAATATCAATATGCTCAGGGTCCGCCAAATCTGTCTCCGTCCATTGCGGACTGACATTTGGCGCAGTTTCCATTACCCTTGAAAGTTGGATCATGGTTCTGACATCTCAATAGAAACCTCCGACTCTCGTTGTTTGGATCTGTGACTCGGATGAGGCCGTGACGGTCGACAACATGGGTGACCATATGGGAAATTTCCTTCTTCTGGCGAGGGCATGTATCGCGAGATGAATAGAGCTCCGGGTTATGCAACCAGAAGAAACAGGCGATAGTGAAGTCTTCCTCTATGAGCAATCGGTTCTTAGGATTTTGGGAAAACCTGCCGTTATAAGTAGTTAACACCAGACCATTAGGACCAGGAGCAGGAATAGTCTCGATCATACTCAGGGTACTATAGAACTCCACGGTGTTTATTGCGGTTCAGCTTCGAGGCCCTTCAGCTGATGTAGCAGCCGTTCTGGTAGGACCCTGAGTAGTGAAGTGGGGATCCCCCTCCGGATTTGGACGAGGATGAAGTGCCCGGTGGAAGGGCCTTAGCAAAAGGTGGAGGTTATGGGCAGCTAGGAAGGTAGGCAGAAGAAGCCAGACACAAACTGGGCTCTCAGAGTGGTTTCAGCCGAGGTATACGAGGCGTGGCTATAGCTTCTTGATATATGAACGGACGACAGAGACGGCAGCTGCACGTAGAATGGTCACCAAGACGGACATACTGATTAGACAGTTGAATAACTTGAAATTTTTCGAGAGCTGGCGTCTATTTTTGCACACGGCTAAAAACCACAGGGCTGGACTCGCAAAATATAAAGCCATCACTCTTCAATCTCAACCTCTACAAGCTCAGTAAGCTTTCTCCTACCATCAATCCACTTGACCGTAGAGGTGATCAAACTAGTCTTCTTAGCCTCTTGTCCATTTTCATTATTCTTTGTAGTAAACGTCGTGAGGTGTGCGACGACACCGCCCTGCTTCTCAGTGTCGTCCCACTTCAAGACCTCAGAGACGCTGTTGAGGGTCATGCCGCCACTACCACGGATATACAGGACGCCTCCTTTCATCTCCTCATAAGTAAAGACGGAATGATTGAGCCTGAGACATATGTAAGTACGGGTTTCCTATGCAGACCTACGCCACTGGAAATACTCACTTGACTACTAGGCTGGAATCGACGTCCTCGTTTAAGGCTTTTAAAGCTACTTCGTCCTTCGGCTGGTAAAAAATTGCATCGTTGACCTGCTTCACCCATTCGCCTAGGGGCAGCTGTTGGGACGACATTTTGATTGTATAGGGTGTGGTGTAAAGTTGCCAGGTTCAGAGGCTTGTGTCAGACGTCGAGTGAAGGGAGTAACGAAGATCTTGAGTTGATCCCAGAAGAAATTTGTCCCATCGGTCTCGACGCAACTTATAACAAACTCTTCCCACAACTCTATAGGCATGCCTGATACTCCTCCGTAACTGGGGCTTCTTTATCGACCACGGAAATTTCCATGCATAGTACCTAAACGGAATCAAACAGCAGGGGTTGCCCACGGTTGGATTCACCTCCGCCGTACCTCCGCCACATGTCCATTATATCTCCACCACATAACCCATAGCTCCCTCTCAACTCCACTGCATTTCCATCATACGTCCGCCACACGATGGCAAGCGAAATTTTAAATTCATAATCAGCATTATGGCCTCGGCCACTGAATGCTTTACGTGCTCGAGACCTGCAGGTCTCTTTGACGAGTCTGGAGATTAACCGTAGCCGGAGATGCAATTGTTGGGTACCCAAGCCAGGTCTTTGCTAAGGGTGATAATATAACCATTTTGTACCGTCGACCTCTTATACACAAAGATGGAAAAGAATCGTGGCACACAGTGGGAGGCTTTATAGACTGAAAAGGTGGTTTCTCAAGACAAACCAAAAAAAGATACAAGTAATGTGTGACTTCGTCACCAAAACGAAGCTGAATTGCACGAGCTATATACTTGGCGCGATGATCGACCCGATTCCCCATCAATTTGTTGGCACAGAATCAGAGTCCTACGAATTGCAAAGTCAAGAACGTAGGATCTGTGTCAATGCGCTTTCTAACATCCCCCGATCTCAGCTCATCAACATCCCATGCTGCCCAGGCGAAACGGCCGTGAAGGAAGGTGGCCTGAGAGGTTGACGCCCAAACAGCCCAGCATCCAGGTAAATTCTCTATAAGCCTTGGTTAGAACATACACCTTGTCAGGAATTCATATAGCACAGCATCTCGCCCAACAATACAAAAGACACAAAGAGTCCAAGGGGGTCTCAGGCACATACCATCATCAAAAGGAAAGCTGTTCTCATCAAGACCTGCAGATCGAGCCTTTTCGGAGAGAATCTGCCCGGGATGGAAGGTGACAATCTGTAATTTCTCACGATCCACCTCTTCTGCAATCTTCTGAACCAGTAGATGGCCTGACATCTTGCTCAGGGAGTAATCCGGGAGGGCAGCTGCAATAGCTGGAAGGTGAATCGCAGCAGTCGACACATAGACGATGTACTACCATAGGTTGATTAGAGGATTGCCTTGTGTTTTTGTTGGGGCACGTCATTATCATACCTTTTTCTTATCTTCAGCACCCGGCTGCTTGTGTAGTCGCTGACAGAAATCAAGGATTGCCTTGACGTTTGTTTCGTACAAGGACCAAGTCTCGTCCAAGTTAGTTTCGAGGAGTGGCCGTTGCTCTTGACCGAATTTGGCCGCGTTGAGAACAAGAACATCGACAAAGATGCCCTCATCGGAAAGGCTAGACCAAAGTTTGGCTACTTCCTCGGCGTCTGCAACATCGCAAACCCGAGGAATGATGTTGACCTTGGGAAACGCCTCCGAAAGCTTGGAGGATGCCTCTTGAAGAACATCACTGCGGCGACCCGTCAGGATGATTTTCGATGCTGATGCTGATGCATATGCTCGTGCGATTGCAAGCCCAATTCCGGCAGATCCACCGGTGACGAGGATGGTCCTACCGGACTGGTTTAACTCGGGACGAAGGGGTAGAAGGCTTGGATAAGGTCTCTTGTGAATTGTCGGAACGAGGCGAGGTGGTGGCACGACGAAAGTGTCTTCGGATCTGTCTATTTCTGTGGATGTAGCCATGGTGAACTTGGTCTTTTGACTGGCGTAGCTTGATACTAAGAGAGCAACGGCAAGAAAAGAGAAAAGCGAGGTGCTGAATATTTCTAGTGTCTTCAAGGCTTGATCCTCTTTCTATCAACCATAAGCCACCATTTTAAACAACCAATCCCATATGACATAAACGATGAGGCGAATTAAACACATTCAACTGCAAATGCAGTTCCTCCGCCATTCCTCCACCACATCCCCGATAGCTGTGATGTAACGTGCATCCACATGTACCGACGACCGTCCTTTGTATATCTCGGGGCCGGACTCTTGGTTGTTGCCGAGAGGGACAAGATCCCGGAGACGCTATTTCAAGGATACGAATACGCGGCCAAGGGCAGCATGCAGGCTAATCGCCTTCCAATCGGAGATCGGGGACGATCCTCCGCACAAATGCTTCATAGCGTCGGGTTACTGCGGAGGAAGTAAAGTTAGCGAAACATACCTCCGCTATTGTTATCCAAGAACACAGACAACAGTGTTTTACTCAAGAGCGAAAACAATGAAGAAGTTCATGGTGAACAGCCAGTACAAAAAGACTAGAATGTCCACTGGCATATCTCAGCACAACACAATATTGTACTCTCCTTCGCCCATTACAAGACAATTCTACATTGACTATCATCTCAACTTAAATTAACCATGACCGGAAGCCCTCTAAGATTCGATGGACGCGTCGCCATCGTGACCGGTTCAGGTCGAGGCCTAGGTCGCGAATATGCCCTCCTTCTCAGCCGTCTCGGTGCCTCCTTGGTGATAAACAGCACCACTTCTTCGACCGCAGAGGCGACTGCCAAGGAAATCACTGATGCTGGTGGCAAGGCCGTCGTTCATATTGGTAGCGTCGCAGACCGTGAGGTTGCCGACGGAATCGTCAAAGTTGCCATCGACAACTTCGGACGCGTCGATATCGTTATCAACAACGCCGGTGGAGCCGATGGCGGTGACTTTGACCAGACTTCTGACGATAAACTCTGGAGCATGCTTGGGGTTCACGTGGGAGGCTCCTGGAACGTCACTCAGGCAGCTTGGCCACACATGAAGAGTCAAAAGTTTGGTCGCGTTGTCATGATCGCATCGCCCGTCATGTTTGGCAGCGCTCAACAGTCAACCTACGGAGCTGCCAAGTTGGCCCTTATGGGGTTGGCCAAGTCTATCGCCATCGAGGGCAAGGAACACAATATTCTGGTCAATACGGTTGCTCCCATGGCCTACACGCCTGGGTCTGCTGCCTTTGTTACGGATGAGCAGACGCAGGCCTTTATGGAGGCCAGCATGCCCGCCAGCGATGTGGCTACCACGGTGGCGTGGTTGGCTCACGAGAGCTCCGAGGTCAACGGTGAGACCGTCGCAGCGGTTAACAGGCTTATTACTCGCATCTTTCTGGCTGAGAGTAAGGGCTACTTTGGACCCGCGGACCAGGATTGGACTGTTGAGTCTGTGAGGGACAACTGGCAGAAGGTGATGGATGTGACGGAGTTTGCTGTCCCTACTGATATGGCGGAATTTGGTCCCAAGATCTTTCAGCGACTTGCTACGCACCAGTGAGCATGGTTTTGATGTCTGCTTGCAGATCTGACGAGATGACAGAGGGTCATATTCCAGCGGTTTAGAGTACAGATAGCCTTGAAAACAATAGGACTTGAAAAATTCTCATTACATGTTTCCTTTCTGGTTTAGCGGCGCCAGAAGATTATATATCCTCCCGTCTCGTGTACCCTCCAATTCGGGTGAGTTACTACCGGCGCACCTAGGACGGAGGTACTGGAAATCTTGGGGTCTGAGGCTAGGGTAGCGATATTCAGTTGCGTTTATGATCTGCGAAAGCGGAATCGAGTTTCCGTGCACCGGGACGAATCTAAGATGTGAGAGACAAGGTGTTAGCTGTAGAGTTTAAAATAGAGGCAGATTTCTCACGTTGCACTTGAAGCCACCTTGTCGGCTGCGAACTTGTTCAGGGATGCCAACAGGGCGCCCTGCTCGGAATTTGTTATATTGGCCGTGTTGACATTGTCTGCATCGAAGATCAAAGTCGTGCTATCGGTGATGGCGCACTTTGGGGAAATATATGCGTAGCTATGGTCGGCCGCGTGTAAAGAATCTCCCATGTGTATGAAGGTAGCCTCAATGGTGCCATCTTCCAGGATAAATGGGTTCTTGGTCCTTTGGGAGCCGTCAGTGAATCCTTTTGTTTCCGCTCATAGAGTCTTACGAATATGTCATGAATGCGCCTTTGGGGATGCCTGAGTAGTAGTCCATCGCGCTGTGAAGGGCAATAACGCTTGCGCCAGCAGCGACGTAGTCGGCAATGCCATATGCGTGGTCGTGATGGTGATGAGTCGGCTGAGGAGAAGTGTTAGTGGTTCGTCCATGGCATGGTAGTATGGCCATTTACCCAAACATGTGTCACGGTCTTGTTCAGCTTTTCCCTAACCCACCGTAAGACAAGCCGGCTCTGTTGTGGTGGAGCGTCTAGCACAACGACGTTGTCAGCAAGTTCAAGAACGAGCTGGCGGTAATTGGGAGCATCCGTCACTGTGAGTAGCCAGACACCTGGGAGATCCTTCCAAGGCTGTGTCACGTTGAGGTTACCGAAGGAGCCAGTGTACCCGCCAGTCCATCTATAGTAAGCATGGCTCTCGCCGATCTCTGCAAAGTCGTAAGATATGTCTCGCCTCGGCAGTTGAGCTGGCAGAGGACGGCCTAGAGGACCCATGAAACGTTTTGGTGTTATTGCAGTGACACTGACTCTGTCAACGGAGTACTCTGTCAATATATGTTTACGATTATAGATCGTTTGGAAGCGACGGGGAAATTTGACTCCGTTCACAGTCACGTAGTCGCTGACAAATAGGTCCTTGGTAGAGGGGCCAAAGAGGCCATGGTTTTCGTACGAACGGATGAGATATGGGAGATTGGTGTGGTCATCCAGGAGAACCGAGATGTTTAGGGTCTGGTCATGAACTTGAAAAGAAAAAGGTACAGGTCAGCATGGAAGCAGCTTCTAAAAGCTTAGAGGGCTCGAATCTTCAACATACGAGCTCGGTGCATTTGGCCATCGGTGGTTTGTTCCCTACGGATGGTGTGGCGGTTATTCCTTGAGATCTGTCACAAGGCTTTAGTATCTTGAGCCAAGTCGCTTGCAAATGAAGTGAACTGACATTCCTGAGAAGCATGGGAGACATTTTCACGGCCTCTTGTATTAGGTAGGCTGCAAGAAGTCCTGAAAAGATGCAAATTAGTGATGGAGACCATGGAGGAGGCCAAGTATGCTATTAGATAGGACACGCACCGTCCTTATGCCCTAAAGGTGGGACACTTGGGAGCAAGAGCACGTCGCTTCCTCGTACAGTAGCAGCGAAACTGTCGCCTCCGTCTTGGAGAACGAGGGAGAAGCTGACTGGTGCAAGATCAGGACGGGCCCATATGAAGTCGGCTGGTGACGCAAAATTAGCAATCAACTCCTGACAACTTGGTGGTCCATATTCGCATGCCTGATAGGTCGTGAAATCTGTCGATGCGCTGCCTAAAAACACCTCCCTCGTACGAGAAGTAAACATTCTGATGGCCTTTACTAGCCAATCTTCTGTCGAGTCCGTTGAGACCAAACGTCTGGGACATGGGCCTGGAGCGAAAGTGTCTGTCATGGTTTAGCGACGAAACGACAACGGCAAGTGTTGCGGCGTCAAGGTGAAGCGTACCCGCCAGAGTAGACAACATCGACAACGGCCTCGAGATTATCGAACCCTCCCAAGGCTTCGAGTCCCTGGGCTAGAAGCCAGTGGGAAGACGCGTTTCGTCCAAGGACGTCGGAAGCAAAGGCCAGGGCCACAAGACTGGCACACAGTAGTGGGATCATGGTGAGAGTAGGCTGGCCCAATTGATGAGGAGAAGTATTCAAAGCTAAGTAAATGCCAGATTGGCCAGATATTTATTTTGCTACGGCCAGTTCGTCTTGTCATCCATGACGTCTTGAGAAAAGCCACCAGCCGCAACAACAAGACACAGTTGACGATGCATGAGCAACATGACGGCATCAAAACCCAACAGCATCAAACAGCACAACAAGAAAGTTGAAACGCACTACATGGACTCAAATTATAAAACTCCTGGCTTAAAGTCCATTCATTACCTCATCATTGGGCTACATATGATCGACGTTGACCTGCCAGGGGTCAATACTAACAGCGGACTTGGGCGGAGCAGCGGGAAGTTAAAGTTCACCTATCCCTCCAATTTGAGTCTGCACTAGCCCCTTTTTGACACATCTCCGACTCAACCCCGACGCGATCAGATCAGGAGTCCCAGCTGGCGAACCTTGATTAGACCAGGGCTTCTTTTGCAAGCCTCCGGACTTAACTGAGACCTAACTTCCCTATGTTCGTCGACTACCTGTATATAATAACTCGTTCATGGTCTGCACCATATAAACCACTTCGTTGTTTCGTTCATATCTTCAGTTATTCTACTCCATATCTAGATTGAACTGCTAGGCCTTTTACATGATGAAAAGTGGTGTTTCATTCGATCCTGACAAGGATATTCCAGACCTCTCCGGAAAGGTCATTTTGGTTACTGGAGGCAACACCGGGTTAGGCCTCGAAACCGTCCTGCAGCTCGCAAAGCACAACCCTGCACACATCTATCTCGCAGCAAGGTCGGAAGAAAAGGGCAACCGAGCCATCAAAGAGGTCCAAGAGAAGGTCCCCAATGCACCGCCCATCACCTTCCTCCGTCTTGACCTCGGGTCTCTCGAGAGCACGAAAGCAGCCGCTGCCTCATTCCGAGCTTCATCAGACCGCCTGGATATCCTGATTAACAATGCTGGTATCATGGCCGTTCCAGAAGGCCTTACCAAGGACGGATACGAGATCCAGTTTGGCACCAACCACCTCGGCCATGCTCTCCTCACAAAGCTCCTTCTGCCAACCCTGAAAGCGACTGCCGCCACCCCCTCTTCCGACGTAAGAGTCGTGTTCCTCTCGTCCTCTGCAGGAAGCATAGCACCCAAGGACTCGTACCATCTCGATAAGGCCAAGACGACGATGCCAGATATCGGTACCTGGACACGCTACGGCCAGTCCAAGCTCGCAAACATTCACTACAACGCAGCGCTCGCGAAGCGCCACCCAGACATCAAGTTCATCAGTCTTCATCCTGGAGTGGTGAAAACCAACCTGGGCGACTCGTTTATCAACAGCTATGGTGCGTTGTTGGGCACGGTGTTTAGGTTTATTGGTAATATGACGTCTATAAGCGTTGAGAAGGGGGCATTGAACCAGCTATGGGCTGCGACCAGTCAGGACGTGGAATCTGGAGTCTTTTACTATCCGGTTGGGGTCACGGGGAAGGGCTCGGAGCTGAGTAATAATGAGAAGGTTCGGGAGCAGTTATGGGAATGGACGGAGAAGGAGCTTGAATCATATGTTGTATAGTAGTTGTGTATTCCAGGTGGTAGAACACAGCATCTCAAGGGGCCACCGTAGAAGATCAAACTTGCCATTGGTGTTAAGATTTCTCGTGGAAATTCAGTATCTGAACAGACTTAAAAGGAGATGCTATTTCAATAGTGCCTTGTGACCGGACTGATCCTTGGTATATTGGTATCCAAACATGGCCAAGGTCAGAAGGCAACTTGCAGCTCCCCAAGCAGCATCCCAACCTCCAAACATCAGCCTCAATGGCACCGCAAGGATGAATATGCCGCCGACGTAGACAAGGAAGACAGCTTGGGATGAGAGAAGCCACCCTTCCTCGACTAATAGCCCCCGAAAGGGCAATTCATAAAGCGAAGGACGTCCCCATTCGTCGAAGAGCCTCAGTACTTCTCTGAGAATAAACACGTGAGCCATTTAAATCACTTTTTCTGTCTAGCTAGGGAATAAGCACTTACAAGTGTGAGTAAAATCGGCTTTTTGGGATCAGATCATTCGCCTCGCTCACTTCGGGACGCTGGAAGGCCAAGGTAAGGAATGACTTTCTCCTGGACAGTTGCAATAGCCTTCTCTTCGCCTCTCTAATATTCTCAAAGGGACATTCGTAAGCCGACTCATATGGCTCGAAAACATTATCGTGGGCTTCTCTGTAGTCGTCGCACTCTTGACAATGCTCGAATATTCCACTGTGCGGATCATAATAACAGGCGAATTCCCTGTCTGGCACTTGATCAACGATGGCTTGTTGCTGCTGCATCTGACCTTCCAAGTCTTCTGGCGTACAAGCGCCAAGGAACTGAGAATGTCCATTACCGGATCTGTTCGAACTGCTCGACCCGACCTGTGCTAGGAGTGATACCTGTGTTGCTTGTCAGCAGTAATAACTCTGAGGAGACCGTCGGAATTCGCACCGAGGCTAAAGAAACCTGCTTAACACCGTAAAAAGGAAGTCGGTGTCTCCAGCTCTTATGGAAAGTGTTCCAAGAGTCTTTAATCAGAATCCACTGACCGACATAGTCCGTTGTGACGGTTGAGATCGGGATCAAAACTGGTAGTACACGGCATGCCGAGGGGGTACCACAGCAGAGCAACAGGACGCAGGACTTGCCGTCTTCCGAGCCAAGAATCGGCTCCAATATATCTTTTAACTTATCAGTCCGGTCTCGGTGTTTTTTGTGCCGTCGGGGTTGCTTGGGTGTCTTTTCGTTGCTGCTGTCCCCATCCTTTTGGCCTCCATTTTCTGGGCTGTGACACTCGGCGGGCGATTTCTCATCGGACGATAACTGGCTGCCTCGGTCTTTGAATGCGATATCAACATCAATCATCTGAGAGCGCGCCGGAGATAACGGGGGGGACGAAGTGCACAGCGCTGCCTCAGCATCATAGTCATGATGGGCTGGGCGCGGACGCTGCAGGACTGCACGCGGTGGTTTTGGGAATTTCATTTCATCAGGTAGTCGAGAATTGGTAAGCTAGAGAATGTCTAGCCTAGAGAAATCGGACCTCGAATCTTAATAGAAAGTCACCTGTGAGGCTGTGTCACCAAAGTGACAGCCAAGGCAAATTCTAAGGCTTAGTCAATCATTCTATCATTCTATCCTCAAGCGAAGGCAACCTGTGTGAGATGGTTCGCCAGAGGCGCAGCACAAGTCACATCATGTTTGTGATATCTGGTACACTCCTTGGTCTGGTAGGTGGCTCCCATTGGTTGCATATTGGCCTTGAAAACAGCCAGGCCCAACGTGGCTTGCAGATGGGCGGTTAGAGGGTGAATTTATGTTGAAATGCCGGGCTCTGATTGCTGGCCTGGTCTACAATGTCACCACCAACACAGCCCAGCTGGACTTTGCGTATGAAATGCATGTCTGCCTTGGCAGAAACGAGCCCTCAGCCTCAATTTGGCTGACACATGCATGTATGCCCAACCATCTGCCAAGAGTTTCGGCATATTTTGACATAATGCATTCTTCGACTACAACCTTTGAGGCTTTCCACGTTTTATCCCGTGGTAAACGGCCACCTGCTCTCTAGGCCAAGCGCCGAACATGGCTGATCCATTCTCCATAGCTAGCGGCGTTGCTGGCATCGTTTCTCTAGGCATTACTATTTGTAGTGGCCTCGACACATACTTCAGCGCTATCAAAGATCGAGACGATGACTTGAAACGCGCTTCTGAGCTACTGAGCCTGCTTCGCAGATACATCGAGCTCATTCGGCCGAGTGCGTCGACACTAAGTAGCCGCCATGCCCAAGCTACCGATCTCGTTGTCCTAGCACTAGGATCTTGCGAAGGTGAGCTTCGGGCTCTAAAGGAACTCGTCGAAAATTTGAAGAAGGTTGATGGCGCTTCGGATGTGGCACGCAAGTGGGACAAGTCAAAATCAGTCATCACCTACCCGTTCCAACGGAAGAAGTTGACTCAGATTCAAGATCAGCTCCTCAAAGCCACGGGAGCCCTGGGAACTGTTATTCAAGCGTTGATCCTGTAAGGATAGCCTTCTCATCAAATCACATCTTCTAATCTCGACAGACATGTTGGTGTGAGTGTCGGTGACGATCTCGAGGCGTTCAGAACCGCCGTACAGGATAACCACTTGGTTACGGCGGGCTTTTTAACGAGAATCGAATCCAAAGTTGAGAGAGTTGAAGTGTCTACTCAACAGACAGAAGAAAGGCTCACGGCAATTTCGACTGGACTTGAGGAACGAAAGGCCCTGGCATCCAACAGCCAGACACTGGTCAAAGATACTAGCCTCGTGGTCTCAGGAAAGCTGGATGCAATCGTAAGTATTCCAAAGAGTCATAGTGTTTGCTCTAATGAAAGGAGCAGGCAGAAGGTCTTCGACTTGGTCGGCAATCCCAGACCGCTGGCATATCACAACAAAAGGACATTCCACGGTACTTGAGAAACTCCATGATCGAAATGAAATGCATTCAAGATACCGCCACGGGAATTTGTCCCTGCCAGGGACAGAAAGACAAAATAAGACAACAGCCACTAACGACGTATCGATTTTGGGGAGGTCTAGCCATTTCTTACCAGTCAATGTCGAAGGGACATCATCAGCCCGGGTGCTGTTTCTACAAGAGGTGTACAAAGACCACCATCACTTACACTGGCTTGCGCTTCCTCCTCTCCAAGGTTCTCAGCTTCTCTTTGCAGCGCGATTATCAATGTGGCAGCTCTTTAACAACACACTCGCTGCGAACATACAATATCAGGGAAACGAGTCAAGCCTTCGGCGTCTTCAATGACGACGGATATAAACGCTTTGGAATTGACCTAAAAACACTCGTCCAGGAGGATATCAAAGGACTACAACTCGCTTACAGTTCTGGGAAGGCGTCGCCCTTTGACGTTGACAAGTTTGGTCGTAATGTCGCCCATCTATGCGTTCTGGTAGGTTCACTCTCTAGAAGAACTGCATACCCGGACTTGACAAGATTTGCAGAGCTATAAGGATTGGATGGGAAGGGTAGGGGCTACAAAGAGCTCTGACGGCCCTGAGGGCCTCAAGATGATATTACGGTTCCTGCAACAGGTAGGCGTCAATGTCTATGCAGGTACCGACTCCGACAGGTATGCCGAATCAACCCAACGTCCCTAGCTCTCTAAGTAACTGGAACCAGCTCGATGATGCAATTTGTCTTAAGAAAGCATAGATACGTGACTCTGGGTCCAGTCTATGATGTTCTTGCGAACTCCGAGTCGCAGTTTGATCTTGAACAAGACTATGAAAGCACTCTCACCAATCACTCAAAGCGCTGGTTTGTAGATGTGCTGCAAGAGCGCCCTGACATTATGGAAGGTACTTATCCCTGATTGCGCGAAATGTGCGAACAAGATGATGGCTGACGGTGAACAGGGCTGGGCTATAAACCCCTTTTTCTGGCCGTGGCAAAACGAGATGAAGCAAAACTCATGGAGCTTATCGAAAGTATCAGGTTTGCAGAGTATTTGCGCGAGACCGACCTTTTTGGACAAAACATCGTGCACTTTTGCTTGAACTGGGAAACTGGTCTCCGACTCTTGCTCGAGGAAGAGGCCACACGCCGCCTGGTGAACCAGCCTGATGCAGCAGGAAATACGCCTTTGATGGATGCACTAGCGTTTAGCGAGCACGCCTGCCAGAAGCCCGGTGGGCCAGATTTGTGCTCCAGCTGCCGCTGCTCTACTGCCATCAAGCTGCTTCTTGAGACAGACTGCCCCATGGGACTCGATTTGATCGCCGACCCGCCCGGACTTGGAGTTTTTCGGAAAGCTAAGATAGCTCTGCTTGAGCACCTTGCGCAGAGGCGAGAGCGGCTACAACAACTGGCATTGAACTACCTCTCTGAATCAGAGCTTCGAGATCTTGGGGTCTCTCCAAACGAACTACCTGACATCACAGCCCCCGCGATCTGGGACAGGCTGCAGTCGCTTCATCAAAGCGGTGTCGTAAAGATACTCCACAAGGGTCTGGATCCTTTGACGGAAACCCAACTTTCGGGCCGTGTTCAGCAAGGAATCTTCCATCTCTTAGACGACCCTAGAGATGCCGAGGTAGCGCCAATTCCTTGGGGATCTCTGCTGCTCATGACCTGGCTTGCAATTTTGGATGGTGGATTCGCGGCTGTTTCTTAAACCGGCCGCAGCATGAACTGCCAAAAAAGTGTGTTCCACTGCTCTCAGCTTTGTTACATAGCACTGTGCAGTCCATTATTCCTTGTCCCTGCACTACTGAGGAGCTATCACGGCCTCTGCACCACATTGTGGCCTCGTCACTGAGTTATATGGGCGTGCCCGTTCGGTCACACATCCGAACCATATCTTTCGCACACCAACCCGCCCTGGCCATGTATCTCCTTGCATATCTCAGCATTATTGCTAGTGATGTGGACGTAACTTACCTCGCGAAATCAATCATCCGTGTTCTGACCATGGAGGCCCTAAGTATCAGCCACTTACCACAGTGTCGTGAGTGGCCCATATACTCTAGGGAGAGGTTCCAGGAGGTAAAAGAGGAAGAGGAATGGGATGCCATGCTTGACGAGGACCCAATCTTGATCGAAAAACTTAACGATCTGTGCCAAGGGTTTGAGCAAGAATTCTCGAACCAGAATCTCTCTATCGAGGACTTCTTGCAGCTTCATTGGCACCCTAGGATGCGCCAAGTTCGCCGTCAAATTCGCAGGGAGCACAAGGCAGTGGACGAAGACTACAGAAAGGAGCTTCGCGAGATTGGCGTGGTTTTGGTTGACGAGTCTGAACCGCATGTGAATTCCGGTTCGCATGACACATCCGAGTCTGATGATGATTCCGGGGAGGATGACTGAGGAGAGGATGCTAGTGATGGAGAAGTTGGCAAGAAGGAGTCAACCAAGGTGAAGGGAAACGCAGACAATGACAGTGTCGGGTAGGACTTCAGTATTCCATTGTTTCACGCTTAATTCAAGTTTTACAACCGCACCAGCCTCCAATAAACCTCCAGTTGTTTTATGATATTCACTCTGTCAAGTCTCGATTGGTGTAGAATTGAGATTCCAGATAAAATCAGGCGTGATAGCATCTGAGATAACTTACGGACTCACCTATAACATCCCAGCAAATATTATTAGACCAGGTCTGTTCCAAGCCACTCTTGATTTCTCCAACGTCTTATGACAATTGCCACAATCGGAAAAGCCGGTGAGGCTGACTTGATCTGAGCCACAAAAAATAAGCACACATTCGAGAGATTCTGCCCCGGGAGCTCGGATCACGGAATGTCAGACGTAGAGCGGCGAATTTTCCATTGGCCCACGCGTAAGTAATATCGGATCTCGGCTGATGCTGACATCATGATGCATGTGGGGACTGTGAGACAGGGCTCGACGAATTGGCGGTTGTGTAGGACCCTGGTTGATTCCTGGATTGGCTTACGCGTATTTGTTGACATTGGGAGCTGAGGGCCTTTTATGAGACACTAGCTCTGCTTGCATCTAACTTTCGGTCCTTAAGAAGGGTCCGTTTTTGAAGGGAGGGTCCTCGGAGTTGATCAATATATGAGGGAGCCTGTCAAACTCCAAAAGATCATCTCACCAATTTTTTTTCTCTTCACTCTTCTTTACAATCTTTTGGCATATTTCTAATACATATCCTTTGCTTTGCGGTATTTCCACATCATCCGTTTTCTCACATCATCCCACTGGGCTTCACCGTCATGGTCCAGCTATGGTCCGTCTCGGCGATTTTCGCCCTGCACATTCTCCGTCTTGAAGCGGCAGCCCTCGGAAACGAACCTCGTTATGCGGTATCTACGGATTTGCAGATCCGAGCTCTTCCCGACTCTCCCAGTGGTGGCTACTCTCCAGAGGTTGTCGACTGTCCTCGCACGCGACCTACCATTCGCTCAGCAGATGCTCTCTCGGATGAGGAAACCTCGTGGATTTCTGTCCGCAGAAACAACACCTTTGATCCTCTGCGTAAGCTTCTTGAGAATGCCGCCATCCCCAACTTCAACGCGAGTTCCTACCTTGACAGGAACCGCGACAACACCACAGCCATCCCCAACATTGGCATCGCAGTCTCTGGCGGTGGCTATCGCGCCCTGATGAACGGAGCCGGGTTCCTGTCAGCTGCCGACTCACGTAACGGACACGACAGCGCCGTCAGCGGGCTTTTGCAGGCGTCGACTTACCTTGCCGGGCTATCCGGTGGTGGCTGGCTCGTGGGGTCAATGTTTGCCAACAACTTCTCCACCATCCCCGATCTGCAAAAGGGCGAAGAAGACTCTTCCAACTGGCGATTTGACCGATCTATTTTCAAGGGACCAAAGGAGAGTGGTATTGGAGCTTTGAACACGGTCGATTACTGGTCTGAGATTGCGACCGACGTTGGCAACAAGAGTGAGGGCTGGGACACTTCCATCACCGATTACTGGGGCCGTGCCCTGTCGTATCAGCTCATCAATGCCGATCAAGGTGGTCCCGCGTATACGTTTTCTTCAATCCAGGATACGTCCGCCTTCAAGGATGCCGACACGCCTTTCCCGATTCTTGTTGCCGACGGAAGAGCTCCTGGAGACTTTATTGTATCCTTGAACGCCACCGTCTTCGAGTTTAACCCTTACGAGCTTGGCACCTGGGATCCTACCACTTACGGATTTGCTCCGCTGCGTTGGTTGGCGTCCAACTTCACTAATGGTTCCATTTCGCGCAATGGAAAATGTGTACGCGGATTTGATCAGTTTGGCTTTGTCATGGGTACTTCTTCATCTCTCTTCAACCAGTTTCTGCTTCAAAACGTCTCCGCTCTTGGCGAGGACTCTGGTATCCCATCTTTCATCACAGATGCTCTTGAGAACATCCTCAAGGGTCTCAGCGACGATGAGAATGACATTGCCCAGTACGCACCTAACCCGTTCCGAGGCTGGAACCCCGACACGAACCCCAACAGCAAGGATTTCCAACTCTCGCTGGTAGACGGTGGTGAGGATCTGCAGAATATTCCCCTGCACCCGTTGATTCAGCCCAATCGTGGTGTGGACATCATCTTTGCTGTCGACTCGTCTGCCGATACTACATACAACTGGCCAAACGGCACTGCTCTGCGAGCTTCCTATGACCGTTCTCTGGAGGATATTGGCAACGGTACCCTGTTCCCTCCTGTGCCTTCTGCCGAGACTTTCATCAACAACGGCCTTAACCAACGTCCTACCATGTTTGGCTGCGACGCCAACAACTTTACACTCTCCAGAGGACAGGTTGTGCCGCCCATTGTTGTCTACGTACCGAATGCACCCTACACGGCCTCTAGTAACGTCTCGACATTCACGCCATCTTATAGCATCACACAGCGCGACCAGATCATCACAAACGGCTTCAACTCGGCCACCCAAGGCAACGGCACTGTGAACAAGGACTGGCCCGTTTGCGTTGCCTGTGCCATCATGAGCCGAAGCTGGTGGAAGGCCGGAGAGACTGTTCCTGATGCATGCCAGACTTGCTTTGACAAGTACTGCTGGGACGGCAAGACTAACAATACTCGAGTCAATGACTATGAGCCTAGCTTCATTATTAAGAATGAGAGTGGGGATAGTGACAACGCTGCCGCTGGACTTGGACATAACTTTGCGCTTACTGTTGGAGTTGCCTTGGCTGTTGTGTTCTTTGGATACTAAGACTGATGATGTGGAGAGTAGTTGGATAGGGTGGAAGTTTGCATGAGCGTGTTTCTTGTACTGTCTTATAACGCTGAGCTAGTTTTGATTCACTGTCGATGCCTTGAATAGTGCTTCAAATTGAAAACAGTAGCCTAAGCTAATGTCCGTCGAACGCCAATACCTGGCAAGTTTTTCCTGGCCAATGGAGGCCATTCTCGATCCCTATTATAATGCTGTATACGGCATCTAGTTTACCTTACGGTCTGATCGTTTACCTGAATATCTCACATGCTTGGAGTCTAGTTATGCACGGCGAGCATACACTATTATGCATGCATACGTAGCTCCGTCACACAAACGCCTCAGTGGACGATCGCAGACCACCAACGAAATGAGCGGAGGCCTCTTGATCCCCACCGCCTTCCATGCCTTCCCCTCTTTTCCGTATCAAGTACGAAAATGTTGTGCCAAGAGTGCAAGGCCGTCTTCAGACAGCCCATGTCCCTACAGAAGGAGTCTAGCCGACTAGAGTTCCTGGTTGCTACCTTCCAATACGACATTTCCCTCTCTGGCCTTGAAGCGAAGGCTAAGCGCTGTTATAGCTGCCGAGGCATCCTCCGAGAGATCGTCAAAGATAACAAACCTAGGCTGCAAGGGGACTTGGTCTTGCAGATTCACTACAGCCATGGGATTCTGGCTAACAAGAAAAAAGGCGGTCCCTGGTTCCGAGCCTTGGCAAAGTTTGATGGGACGTCCCTTGGGGGGGCTCGGATGCATTTTGAAAAGGCCCAAGATGAAGGTGTGTAAAATGTTGTCCGATATTCCTGTTGGCGAGCTACCTAAGGCTGTTTAGAAGCACCGAATCCCAGGAGCCCAAGCACCGGTTCAACAGAGAGTTTGAACTTTGTGAAAGACTGTCTGGAGAAATGTCGCACTGAACATCAGTCTTGTCCTTCAAGCTCCGGTCCTGCTTGGGTTCCCACCCGGCTTATCCAAGTCGAGCAAGACAGCTTAAGACTTGTGGAATCTTCCGAAACAGACATCTCCGAACCATTTGTTTCTCTCAGTCACTGCTGGGGAGGTGCCGAGATTTTGAAGCTCACCACCGAAAACATCAAAGTCTTGAAAGACGACATCCCCTTCCTCGAGCTGCCAGAGACGTTTCAAGATGCAATCCAAGTGGTCAGAAGCCTGGGAACCAAGTATATCTGGATTGATTCGCTGTGTATCATTCAAAACTCAGATGAAGATTGGCAGAAGGAAGCAAGCACCATGCTCGAGGTGTACAAATATGCCTTGTTCAACATCGCAGCAACAGCCTCGATCAACAGCTTCGGAGGTTTATTCCAGGAGAGAGATCCCCACCTCGTACAGTCAGAGGTAGTTGGCATCGACACCGAAGCCATCAAAGGCCGATTCCATCTCGTGGATCAGGGATACTTCGCCGAAGCGGTTGACGAAGCTCCTCTCAATCTGCGATCATGGGTTGCCCAGGAACGCATGTTGTCGCCTCGTATCGCGCACTTTGCATTCAACCAAGTCATCTGGGACTGTGCTGAATCAACCGCTTGCGAGTCACTCCCTCATGGCACAACTGCCTGGTCCCGATATGAGGCGAGGCCGATGACATTTGGATGCAAGCAGGGATCGGCATTGCTGGCACCTGCAAAGACAGTGGATGAGGGCTTGGGACAGTGGGGAACCATTGTCAACACCTACTCAGCGTGTGGCTTGACATTCCTCGGAGACAAGTTGATCGCCATCTCAGGCGTAGCCAACCATCTACGAGATGAACTCAAGATGGAGTACTGTGTCGGTCTATGGAGGCCCAAAATGGAGATACAACTTGCGTGGGTCGTGCAGAATCTACAAGCCGACCGAACACCTCGTAATGATCTTGCTCCAACGTGGTCTTGGGCATCACTCAACGGAGCGGTGCATCTACAGCAAGTCAACATTTACGATGGATACGATGTCAGCTCGCTATGTTCCATCACCGAGGTCAGTCTTCGTCGAGTGGCTGATGAGCATCGTGGTGAGAAGGTCGTCGGGTATCTTCGCATGCGCTGCGTTCTTAACCCCATCACAGTCGAAGGCGATGCAAAGTCATGTCGTCTGCGGGGAAAGGGAATGGAGGAGCACGGTAGAGCCGCTAATATTGACTCGCCAGACGTTGTCGGCGCTGAGCGGCTCTTTTTCGTACCTCTGTTTGACGTTCAGTATCCAAATTCATTTGAAGACAGGTGGAATGTCAGTTCAGAGATTAGAGGGATTATTGTCCAGGGTGTCATGGGACGACCGGGAGTGTATACGCGGTGTGGGCATGCTTTTGTCAGTGGTTCTGTTCGCAATGACACGAGGAAGTTTGACGAGGCGTACGACGCATTCAAGTCGCCAAAGGGAAAGGCTGAGCTACCTTGTGAGGAGTATGACGCAGGATCTGGTCATCTCATAAAGTTGATCTGATTCACAGACGGCGACGCAAGAGAGTGTTTGTCTATGTGCCAACAGTGAGGCTGGAAGGATGTCACGTGTGGAATCTACTCATCTTTGGTATCACATACCTGTGAAGCACTGTCCAACTTCCTTGTGCAATATCATCTCCAATGATGATTAAATGATTCATATGTACCATTTATCTCTTAATGTCAGCTAATCAATTTTTGGATGGTAATGCAAACATGTACAACCACGTTTGTGTGCAACCTGCCGCCTGCAGCCTGCAGCTGCCTAAGCTTAAGGCGAGCGCTTCCCCTCTCTTTGCTCAGACATCTTTGTTTACCAAACTCACACATTGCAATCAATCTCCTCGCCATATCTCATCGCCTGTCAAGTCCATCGCTACATCACATATAAAGACAGAATGGGGCAAAACAGACCTCAGTCTCTACAGGACATCCTCAAAAATGTCGCACAAGAGACCTTGGGGCTTCTGCCTAATCTACTGGGCCAGCTCCAGACCACAGCCGCCGCCCACACTGCGCGCAAATACTCACTCGAGACTCTTCATCGCCTAGATCCCAATTACTGCCCTTCGTATCCTCAGCCGGCTACCATTAGAGTCATCAACGAGGATACTCTCAACGCTGCCATCCGTCTGTCGGAGGCCCTCAAAGCTAGCCCTCCCGATCCTCGAATGACCAGTCCGTATGTGGCCATCCTCAACTTTGCGAACCGGCTAAAGCCCTGTGGTGGATTTCTCAACGGTCGTATGGCTCAAGAAGAAGCGCTGTGCTACCGTAGCTCTCTGTCTCTGAGCCTGAATAGAAATCTCTATCCGTTCTCTGGGCAAGAAGCGCTTTACAGCCCCTACGTTCTTATCTTTCGTCATGACTTGGCTCATGCACATCGTCTCATGAGAGAGGCTTCTCCCAAAAACCTCCCTGTCGTCAGTGCCGTAACCATCGCGGCCCTCCACCATCCCAGGATTCACACCTTCAAGCTAAGGGGCGGCATTGAACAGCCAGTTTTCGGAAAGGATGAGGACCGCAATATCACCAAGAACAAAATGAGACTAGCCCTTAGGATCGCGGCTCGAAACGGACACCGCTCCCTTGTTCTTGGGGCATTTGGATGTGGCGTGTACGCGAACCCACCCGAGGACGTTGCCCATTGCTGGTTGGAGGTGCTTCGTGAGAAGGAGTTTCATGGAAACTGGTGGCGTGAGGTCTGGTTTGCTGTCTATGACCCGAAGCAGGAGGGTAACTACGAGATCTTTCAGAAGGTTCTGGCTGGCAAGAGAGTTTAATAGCATAGTGAATTTGGCGATGCTCCTAAAAGAGCCGCTGGGCCCAATGCCAGAGAGCATTGTTGAGTCTAATTGTATCAGAGCTTAAATACAATATCTCGGCCAATTAATTAACTTTTACTAGTATAGTTTGAGTTTAAACATAATAGTCAGTCTATAACCCCTTTGTAGCATGTCCTGAAATCTGCCCTGCCTACCCACCGACAGGGCTGTTATGGCCGCAGCCGGTCAAGCAAGCTATTTTTGGCCCTCGACGAGGGTTTCCATCAAAGCGGAAAACAGCAATAGATCAAGGCTGTTTTCTCTTCCCTCAGATAGCTTTGGAAGCTGGTCAACAGGCAAAGGGCAGGACGGGAACGGGTGGGAACCTGTGCCCTTCGCATTTGCTGACTACTTCCTGCAGGAATACAGAGTACATAGGTACGTAAACCGAATTCAGAAGACTTACGGGCCTCCGTTGTACGGAAGCGTGACCACGACTACGCACAGAAGCAATAGATCATTCAGGGGCAGACACAAAGAGAAACAACACGAATACGCTGGTTTGGGAGCAATGGACCGAATACACGTACCGTCTGGTCTTAATCGCCGTCCTGAAAAGAAGTTGCACAATCATCAATTATGAATTCAACCATAGAGTGAGTACCTATTGATCTACCTGATACTACCTAAAGTAATATCGCTGTGTCCTCGTCACCCATTAGACATCATCCATGTCTATCATCATCAAAGCCTGTTTCCATCACCATGAAACCCGACTCTAGCTCTCTCTCAAGTAACATGACAGGTCTTGGCTCCGCATGCGAGTTCCATGTGCTGCGAATTGATCCCCAGCATCGCGTAGAGATGCCCGTCAACCGCTGGGGGTTTGTTTTTTGTTTTTGTTGTTTTCTTAGTGGTGTCGTCATTTAGAGAGGTTTCGCCATTTAGAGAGGTTTCGCCATTTAGAGAGGTATCGCCATTTAGAGAGGTATCGCAACCTCGGCAAACTTCAATGGCAAAATCATAAAATCTGGGCGGATTGCAACGCTGGCGGTACCTGTATCAGCATGTTGCCTTTCAAGCGAGGAACTCCCAACGCGTCGGAAAACTTACGCAATACCACCCTGGGGGGTTCTGGACAGTATCCATCTTAGCCGTAGGCAGAGTGACCCACAATCATTGGCAGTAGACCCGAGTTAGGGTCAAGACTGCCTCGGACGCAGTAGCAACAAGTTGGCAATGGACCCGGGTCAGGATCAATGCTGCCTCGGACGTTGCAGCCCGGCCCTTGATGGGTTAACTGAGCCCGGAGATCGTTGCCTTGGACGCAGTAGCAACAAGTTGGCAATGGATCCGGGTCAGGATCAAGGTTGCCTCGGACGCCGTGGCAACAAGTTAGCAATGGACCCGGGTCAGGATCAAGGCTACCTCGGACGCCGTGGCAACAAGTTAGCAATGGACCCGGTTCAGGATCAAGGCTGCCTCGGACGCAGTAACCACAAGTTGGCAGTGGACCCGGGTCAAGATCAATGTTGCCTCGGACGCAGTAGCAACAAAGTCGACCCTGTTGGTGCGCACTCAGGGTATCGCGTATCTCCATAAAAAGGGGGCGGTAGGGAGACAATGTCTCCGGGTGAGAGTTGAATGTGGTGGTAGAATTAAAAAACAGAAAGCTGCATTCGAAAGGGAATATCTACTTTATAACTACCTGACGGGCTTGAAGATTCACGTGAAGCATTCCGACGTCCCCGACGCCAGACGCCCGACCACAGTGATTGCGGCTGTGCTCGCAGACGCCACCATTCACAAGACGAATCACGCGAACAAGATGCCCAATCCGAGCACGTCGGCGTCCCTCCCTGCATCTGAAACCACACGGAGTACGTGTTCCCGCACCTTCAGAGAAGCGGTGAGCGATAAAACGTGCAGAAATACCCATTCGGTGGCTTTTGAGGCCCCCAATTCTGCCTTGTGGTCGAGCAGAAGTTCTGCGATCCTATCATGCCCATTCTCGATGGCCAACTGCAACGGCGTCCTCCCCAGCGAGTCTGCGATATCCACGACGGCATGTGCATTCAACAAGGCTTCCACGGCCTCCACCTGTCCGTACTTCGTGGCGTACCACAACGGCGTCCGCATTGCGCCGTCTGTGGCGTTGACAAGTGCACCGGCATCGAGGAGCGACAGTGCTACGGCTACGTTGCCGAGCCTTGCTGCCCAATGCAGAGCCGTCTTGCCAGCACAATCTTGGGCAGTAGCGTTACCATTCGATCCCAGGAGTAGGTCGATGATCTCTCTGCTGCCGTGCTTGGCAGCGTGTATGAGTGGTGTCCAGCCCGATTCGTCGGGCATGTTGATGACCGTCCGCTCTGAATCCCGCTCGAGAAGAACTTTCACTATAGCCGCATGTCCTGTGCGGCTCGCGATGGACAGAGCCGTTTGACCAAAACGATCCGTATGGCGCAGAATATCTGGGTGCCCGTATTGAAGGAGCAGAGACACCACATCGAGCTTGCCAGAGTCACATGACCAGGTTAAAGGCGTCCATCCATCCTCATCTGCGAGACTCGGGTCTGCCCCCTTAACAAGCAGGATTTCCACAATGAACGAGAATCCCTCCTCGGCTGCGTAGGATAGTGGTGTCCGGCCCTCTTGGTCAACCAAGTTGATGTTCGCACCCATGGTAGTTAAACAGTCGGTGGCGTCTTTGTTACCCTTTTGCGCAGCCCAGCTAATCGGAGTCGGAATACCTCGAATATGGGTATCGATGTCGGCTCCGTGAGCGACCAAAAGCCTCACCACCCCCCAATGTCCCTTGGAAGCTGCCCTCCAGAGTGCTGTCTTGCCAGATTTCTCGGCCTGGTCTGCTTGGACACCTGGACAGTGTTGTAGCAAATAGCTTACCACCGCCTCATGACCAGCCTCAGAGGCATCAGAGATGGGGGACCGGCCAAAGTCATCTGTCAGACCGGCACTTGCTCCATGGCTGATCAGGGTCTTGGCAATTTCCAGTTGTCCATGTTCTGCTGCAACGGATAGGGCGGTTCGGCCAAAAATGTTGGGAGAGTCCACTTCAGCATCATGTCGCAAAAGAATCGCAACTATAGATTGAAACCCGCGAGCCGCTGCTGAGAATAGAGGTGACTCGCCATATGATGTCCGTTGGTTCGCTCCGTGGCCGTTGGATACTAAGCGGCTCGCTATCTCATCCAGGCCGTAGAGGGCAGCCAGGTGTAGACCAGTCACTCCAGTTGGCACACTTCGGCAGTGGCCCCGATAAGTGAGCTGGCCTTGGCTTGCAGCCTCTACTTTCGGAACTTCCTGGAGGAAGGCAAACAACGCTTCATCCATCGTTGCAGATTTGCTTGCGTGGTCTCCCCAGTGTCGACAAGCATAGTCATATAACGGGTAGTGTCTCAGCCTTTCCTCAAACTCTGCATCTGTTCGGCAAGGACCACTTTGAAAGTCGGGGGACGAAATTATCTCCAAACAGACACGTAATATGTCATTTTCAACGTCTGGAAACAAAGTGTCCCGAATGGTCTCAAGATATTCTTGGATCGTGTAATGGATCAACCTGAGGATGTTGGTTTTGGGGTCCAAGACGAGGAGGCCCTCGCATGACGAGACCAAATCCTCAGCATCCGTGATGCTATCCTCGTCAAGCATCTCAGCGCCGTCAATGATTGCCAGAGCGTGCTGTAGCTCTCGAACCGTAAGAGGTCTCTTGGTCCAAGCAACCCAAGAGAGAACGTGCATCGCCAGATCTCGGGTGTCGCGACTCTGAATGCGGGTCATGGTGTTGGCATAAAGCTTGTCGTATGCGTCAGGGCCTTTGGGCAACTCAGTGATGGCTTTTCGAATGCCATATACGGTTCGGCATCTTATGATGGAGTCGAGGTATAATGAAGCCAGCAGAAACCTATTACTATCAGTGAGCGGGTTATCTCAGTTTTCAATCCAGCCATATCACTTACATCCCATCAGCTGCTTGGCCGATTCTTGTCTTGATTTCCAATTGTGTCTTTTCCCTTTCTTCTTGTGGTCGTCTCTTGAGAAAGCGCAGGTTGTCCATGATCTTGCTGTCAAGAAATTTGTGAACGTCATCTTGATGTGCGCGAATCTCAAGCACATGAAGGGGAATCCCGCTCTCTTCGAACATGGAAAGCAGCTCTTGAATGGGTCTCAGAGTGGCGAAAACACTCAGCCTGGAAGCATCTTGAAGTCTGAAGATTTCCTCCAAAAGTCTTGTCCCATTTTCTGTCTTGTATTCGTCTAGAGCGTCGATAATGAGAAAGACTCTCTCATATGAACTTATTGCTGTCGCTAGACAACCCAGCAACTCGCCCATCATTGGTCGGCATCCTGGTGGCTTCGACTTGTATTGTAAAAACAGATCCTGCAAGTCTGCCGGAATCGGCCGGCTTTGTATCAGTTGCTTCAACAGATTAGCTAGAAGATCCTCAGGGCATTGCTCCTGCTGAGAGTTGAAGTCACAGAGCAGGAACGTGATGCATGTCTCCTTGTCATGGGAATAGACCCGGTGCAAATAATCTATGGTTATCGAAGCAATGAATGACTTCCCAGCCCCGGGCATTCCAGGACAAAGAAGTGTCGTCTGCGGCTGATCAAGCCAGGCTTGGAATTGCTCTGAAACGACAAGCCAGGTGCCTGTCCCTAGTTGCCGTCTCCTTAATCTGTCTGTGTGCTGATTGCCGAAATCCAGTAGGGAGAGCCAGGCCAAGAGCTGTTGATCCTCCTGCGCACTCTTATACTCTACCAGTGTCTCAACCTTTTGATGGGTGTCCAAAATAACCGGACTAGGTAATAGACTTAGCAGGACAGTGATCGTTAAATCAGACTAGTGTCTCACGCACGCGTTCAACAGCTCCATGAGACTGCCAAGTATGGTATTGTAGTGAATGATTTCCTGCCGATAGTCTTTGATGGCACCCGGCTCGAATGCCAGCCTTTTGCCGATTTTCCGGGTATGGCTTCCTATGCCATGCGACGCGTCAGTAGCAAGGGTGTGATTTTCATTGTACACTTTGCGGAGTTTGTTAAGGATGGTCGTGTAGCCTTGAAGAGTGGACAACAGTGTGTTCTTTTGATACTCGGCAAGGTCACGTTCCCTTCTTCGGAGGATATCGTACGCTCCCTCTAGCACACCAAGCAATCCAGAGATCCTATTGTCCGGATGAGATGGAATCCTGACAGGACATGATGATAAAGAGTGTGCTTTGACGGAACTTACTCGTCCGCTAGTTCCTTCACTTGATTTGGAGCGCTTCGATACGTCGTTACCACTTGTTTGGCTAGACCTATCGCCTTGACGATGTCACCGAAGCCGACCCCGAATGACATGGCGACGGTTCACACTTGGGTGGGATCCGGCTGGTTTAGGCTGGCGTTAATGCATGCTCTCGATGCTGATGTGTTTGAGAAAAATCCGACAACAGCCTCGTCGAAAGAAGAATCTCTTCGGCATATTCTGTCAGCTGAGGGGAGATGCGTTGGTGCCTAACCTGCGAGAGAGGCGCAGATAACTGCACGTGATGGCGTCTTTTAGAACTGGTCATGTACACTACCTAGGTAGGCAAGGGTGGCTACCTTAAAGAATAGTCTCTGGTTATGAGGGCTTTGTGGTTATCCTGATTTGGGTGATACTTCTGCAAAGCTATCTGGGCATCTATCTATCTGAGCAGCGTATTTGCCAAATAATATCAGAATGACCTGGGGGTTTGTAGCGGCTATATTCTTGGGTCCTGCACCAGTAATATTGAAGAACTTTTCACCAGTTTGACCTGCATATGAGATAACTGTTACAACCCTAAACGCTCAGAATGTCAAGAAAAAAGAAAGAAAAAAACTCCAGTCAGTCAAGACGCTTTCACACGCCATAACTAGGTAGTTAAGAATACCCTGCACCCTTAACCCACCTCCCGGCCACATAGCCAAATTTAAGGTCAGCCGCACGACGCCAAATTTACTATCTATGACCCGAAGCAGGAGGGCAACTATGAGATCTTTTGGAAGGTCTTGGCTGGCAGGAGAGTTTGACAGCATTGTTAACTTCGGCCAGTAAGAGAGGACACAGTTGAATTTGATGATCCCGACTTAGGATGGTTTATCCCTCAGGGAATAAGTAATAAGAGTCACGGGGTATTCTGTGTGATTTTGAAGAGACTGAAAACCATCTATAGTTTGGTCCTGGAACGTGATTGACGCAGCGGACACGATTCTGTGCCAGAGAATGTGATTCGTAACGACAGAAAGGCTACCTAAATCACTCCCCTAATAAGGATGGATGGCTATGTAAGATGCTGAACAGCTAACCTTAATAATGGCCTCTCGCTCAGCGTAGAGTCTCAGCACTGTGATGTAGCAGCAGTGCTCCAAGGCATCGTATGGGGATGTGCAACACCCTTTTGCAACGACTTTGAATCAAGACACTACGATTTCTATATATATATGGCCCAAAATTTGCCTCATATGGCTTCCGCACCTTTCGTCCAAGAATTCAAGCCGCTCGGCACCCGGCTACGCCCTCATCCAGAGCTGAGCACCGGTTTGGAAACTAGTTGCCGCGCTGTTCAAGCACTGTCCCTGCTTTGACCCAGCGATTCCTTCTCTCGTGGGCGAGATGGTGCCAGTGAGTTCTATCTCTCAATGGCACTTGCAGGTACTAAGACTTTATGCTTAGGAGCTACGCCGCTTGAGCGAGAGCAGCAAATTATACCAAGATCGTAAGTTCGACGTCGCGCGATGGTACCTGAGAGTGGAGAGATCTAACCCCGTTTAACCAGTTCGTGATGCCTTTCACAATTCCTGGCGACACCCTGAGAAACAAGCAACCGTCAGGTCTATATATCACGTCATAGAAAGCGATTTAGAGGAGTCGAACCAAGGACGACGATTCAACGAGTACTGTAGGCGGGGAGGGGCCAGATTCAAACGTCGCTACCACGGAACCCGTCGAGCCTGTCTTATCGGCGAGACGGGACAAGTCTTGGAGCCCTGTGACAACAGCGAGTGCGGAGTTTGTGGAATCCTCAAGCATTCTTTCAAAATCCCGAGAGGGCGTAAGTACAAAGTGAGAGAGCTAGGAGAATGTATGTTTAACCATTCCTTTAGGTGGGGGTTCAATGTTTGGAAACGGGGTCTACTCGACGACTATTTCGTCTAGTAAGTTCCACTTCCACTCTTAAAGATCCTGTTCTGATGGTATTTCAGAGGCGGACATGTTTGCTGAGAACCACCACATCCACTCTACACTTCACGCTGTCTTCATCTGCAGGGTCGTCACCAACAGACCTCAGTACCTCCGACACCCTGACAACTACCGGACCCGGCCAGACCCTGGATTTGACAGTGTATGTAATGGGCCAAGAATCTACGGAATGAAGCATGCTGACTTGTTAATACTAGGTGGAGGCTGTTACTCTTCGAAACGGTGGAAACGTCGCATATCCGGAAACGATTGTTTATCGTGAAGACGCCATTGTTCCGTTCGCGGTGGTGATGTACACCCGGCAAGGGTGGTTACCTTGAAGAATAGTATCTCATTATGAGGGTTTGTGGTTGTTTCTGATATATATTGCACTTCTGTTCAGCCATCTACGTCCCTATCTAAGTAGCGTGGTCACCAAACACTGTCAAAGTGTCGGGAAGATGTTCGTGGTGGATATATCCTTGGGTTAATTCTGAACTACTCTTCTAAGGCTTGAACCGCATATTCAAAACAAAAATCGAACCATAGGAGCCTGGATAACGGGCCGGCTTTGACACTTTTGTGCACTCTGATATTCTGGAATCTATCGTCAAACCAAGATTCTTCTCCTTGGCACGTCATGGTTGAGAATACCCTGCACCCTTAACCCACATTTCGGTTGCACAGCCAGGTTTAGGGTCAGCCGCACGACGCTAAACTCCAGAGCCTGCCTTCAGGGAGCCAGTCAGAAGTGCTGCAGCCCGCTGGAATGGCGCCCAACCCCTATCTTCCCCGCTAAATGCCTTGGATCGCCGTGAAACGAGGCTCTGCTGTGGGCGCGTGGAAGACTTGATGGAACGATTCCTTTTGCCTGGGTGAAACCGATTGTGCAAGAATTGCTTTGTCACGCTGAAGAAATGCGGGAGATCCTGGTGTTTCGAATTCGCCTTGCCGCGCCGCGTAAACTCTCCTGAAACGATAGCGGCTGAGCATGTTGGCGGGCGATTGGCAAAGAACTGCTGCCTGCGTCCAATGTGGCATCCTTTTCAACACCCCCGTCACAACCCTGCCACTGTTGGTTTGGCGCTGTGGCGCCAACTTCTCGGTTCTGAAGGTCGTTTCTTGGCCAATTGAAGACTGCAGGACACGATGGCTGTGCTGACACTGCTGGTGGCTTCCCCTGATGATCGATTTATTCTTTGGCTGTTCTTTAACCCCAAACCCCAATCTTTAGATTCCTATCATGCTTGCCGTCACTTCCCCTCACCCAGACAAGTGCCAAGATGCTTCGATACAATGGCGGGTCAGACTTGCCCAAGTCAGAGTCCGAGGCCAAGAAGCATATTGCCAAGATTCGCAAGGCCAGGGATAAGGATAAGAAATCGGGGATCGCGGGGATGATGGATAATGCCATCGGCATGTGAGCAACCCCCAAATGCTAAGTATGGAGCATTATGACCAACACTCGATAGTTTATCAGACGATCTGTATCAGAAGCCTTCACATTTTATCCTGGAGTTCCTCCAAAACGCAGACGACGGCCACTACGACACACCCGAGCCAACTCTGGCAATCACCTTAGAAGACAACACTGTTCGCTTCGACGCCAACGAAGTCGGTTTTACCCGTACCAACGTTGATGCTCTGTGCAGCTTGGGCTCAAGTTCCAAGGTCCAGTCAGACCAAGCGACTGGTCACAAGGGCATCGGGTTCAAGTCCGTCTTTAAAGTTGCCGACAAAGTATGGATCAAATCAGGTCACTACTCCTTCAAGTTCGATGCTAGGGAACGCTTAGGAACCGTGGACCCCATCTGGACCAAATTTCCAGATGATGAGCGAGAAGGATATACATCGATCCGTCTCCGGTTGCTGCCCAAGCTGAATCTCTCTGCTCTGGCTGATGAGCTATTCAAGCTTGATGCGCAGCTGTTGCTGTTCCTCCGGAAGATCCAATGTATAGAAGTCCACGTTATTCCGGAGAAGGGTCAGAGGGCCCGGCCTCGCAGGGTGTTGAAGCGAAGCACAGATTCTAGAATTCCGGATGGCTTGCAGCGATTCACGTTGATGTCAGACTATTCATCAACATTCCTCGTCTCAAGTCATCGTACCATCAAACTTGGGCACGACAATAGAAGGAAGGGACGGAAGCACTCGGACATTCTCCTTGCATTTCCAGAAATGTCATTCAGACATCCGCCTACGGCGACTCAGAACGTCTATTCCTTTCTACCCATTCGGAACTACGGTTTCAAGGTTTGTCATCCATCTATACACCTCAATGAGACATTGAAAGCTAACTCGAGTCACACTTTAGTTCATAATCCAGGCCGATTTTCTCCTCACTGCTAGTCGAGAGGATATTGACAACTCCTCTGACTGGAACATCAAGCTGCTTGATGAACTCCCCGAAGCCATGCTCACAGCGATCAAGCGTTTCAACTCCCGTCGTCTTTACGATGCATGGCTCCCGTACCTCATCTTTGACCACGTCCAACCAGGCTTCTTTGAGAACCTTGGACAAGATATCCTCAGCTTTCTGTCGAAGCAGCCAATCTTGAAGTCAATAACCGGCGACCTCAAACCTCCGTCAGAGCTGACTCGCATCCCGCTGTCCCTGGCGGACACGGACGGCAGCTCCATGATCCCTCGGAGCTTTTGCCCCTACACACTGGTCTCGTCAGAGTTGTCATCTCAGTTCACAGGTGCACTGGATGGCCTGGGGGTCAAGACCCTTTCTAGCGATGAGTTCCTCAGTGAAATCTCTTATTTCATCTCCAGGTTTTCCACGGTCTTTCAGTCTCAGCCTGCGTACTGGCACTCGCGACTCGCGTCCATTCTCCTTCTCCTTTGCGGGTTACCGGAGTACAAGGCCCAGATCGCCGAATTACCCATTGTTCTGCTCCAAGACGGTCGATGGGTTACCCTCAATGCGGGTCAACTTCTATTGCCTCTGAGATCCAGCGTCGGGCCAGTTCCAAAAGGAATTTCTGGCATGGAAGTCCACCGTGATGTTGCCGATAATCCATCCCGTCTTCGACTGATTCAGGAATTCGGGGCGCGAGAGTCTGGCCTCAGGATGGTCTGCGACATCATCACCAAGGCGCACGAGGACATGACCTTTGCCCCTCAAGACGTTGACACAGACGAACTTGTCTCCCACATTGTCTTTCTATATCGTGCTCAATGGGTCCGGACCTCGGTCTCTACAAAGATCTGGTTCGTTGCAGAAGATGGTAACCGTGATCGAGGCCATCGCATGTATGTCGACTCAAACTCGGAGTTCTCAGCGGGCGCTGTCTTCTTCGGAAACCATAGAGCCAAGTTCCACTTCTTGCACGACAAGTATGACCTCGCTTTCTCGAGAATCCGAAGCAATGAGAACCCGACGCATTGGAAGAAGTGGATCCGCGAGAACTTTGGTATTGCACATCTTCCCCGTCTAGCATCGACAATATCCGAAGACAGGCAGAGCTTTATCTTATCGAGGGACTTTAAGTACCTGATGGATCACCAGTCCTCAAAGATAGTCTTGGGTGTTCTGAAACACAACTGGAGTCACTACTCTCGATGGATTCAGGACGCACCCACTGACGCAACCGAGAAGGACAAGAAGCGATCGAAAGAAAAACTGCGATTCGAGCTGTCCTCCTGGCGTGTCCAATGCCGCGGCGGTCCGTATGTCCATTTCCCGCTGAGAAAGACTTGTCTTCCACGCAAGAACGTACTTGTTGGACTCGGTCTATGGGGACACGCATCTGGGATGCAGGGCCATGCTCAAGGCTACCCCCTTCTCGACATCTCTGACCCGGAGGATAGTGGCTGGGACTTTTTGCAGCATTTCGACGTCGTTACGGAGTTGAAGCCAGTACACTTCATCAATCGTTTGATGGATCTCCGACGAAGTGATACCACCCGGGCCGCTGTCTCTGTACTGTATGATCAGATCGTTGCTTGTGCGGAGGATAGTCAGATCGGGACCATCAGGTAAAGTATCTGCGCACTGGATTCTCGTGGCGGTTGCTGATCGATAAACAGGAAAGCATTTGAGGAGTATAACCTCATCTTCATTCCACCTACAGACCATTGCCCAAACCGCTGGGTTGGCCTGGATGAGTGCACCTGGGAAGGTTTCACCTGCCTGCGCAAGATTCCTGACTTGAAGAGACATTACCCTTCTCATCAACACGAGACCCTCTTCCGAAAGTACCTCAATATTCCCGTTGCTAACCTGAAAACGCTCGTATCTGAAGTTCAACAAGTCACGTCTTCCGACTCGCTATCCTACCTCCGCGATCTATTCGTCACGACTAGCAGACGCATGGATGCCGCCACCTTGTCCGAGTACAACGATGCAGCCATTGTCAAACAACTAGGTGGGCGCAAGATTTGGCCAATCACGAAGTCAAGCGATAGTGATGGCTTTGAAAGTCTCATGGCTAATGACGATGTGTGGTACATTCCTGATCACGGCCACTTGCGCGAGACCTTTTCAGGGAAACTGCCTTTCTTGGCCTTCGATACCGCGACTCTTGCTCAGCTTGAGCAACTGTTGCGTCCATTTGGCCTCGATAGGCGGATTATCTCCAAGGCGGCAACTTCAAAGACGAGCACGATGGGGGAAGCGCCTTGCATGCTCGAGTACACCAAGGCACTTACGGCCAAAGCAGAGTTCATAGCCAGGCAAGTAACACATGTTACGTCCAGAAATATTTACTGATTCTTTGATGCTACAGACTTGTTCCTATGGGCCACGCAGACAGGAGCACCATCTTGCGCCGCCTTGGTGCGATATGCGTCTATCAACCGCAGAAGGTGTCCGTGCAATGGACCGTCGTCACCCAAGTCGCAGACATTGTACATGGCCATGAAGAATCTGGACGGGTATCGGTGACGACCAAAGAAGACGGACTCGATATCTACCTCGTGCCTGAAGACTCCAACATCTACTGCCCTCCGCTGGAACTGACGGAAGAGCTAGCGGCCTGTTGTGGCATCACTAACCCTGAACACGTCCAGCTCTTGACGCACATCCTGGTACAGCAGGATATCCAGCGGATCTCGAGTGACCTTGAGAGGAAAGGTATACCGAATGATCTGGAGGGATTTGACAACACAAATGCGAAGCTTCCGGAACCGGTATCCGCAGATGTCAAGGTCTCAAGTAGCTTTGACGATCATGTAGACCCTCTAAGCTCGCAAGGTAAGAAAAAGAAAAACAGCAGACCTTCCATTATGCCGATATTAACTGATGATGATTTCAATAGTTCAAACATTATCAGGCAGTTACATGGAACGAACCCCCTCTCCATCCTCCTATGTTGCGAGGACTGCTGAATGGGATGAAGTTCAGAAACGCTACAGGCTTGTTACTGTTGGACCTAAGACTAGGTCTATCAAGTATGGAGTTACGGCGTTGTCGGTTCCAGAGTCCTTTGCATCAGGCAGCCACAGCGAAAAGGAAGACAATTTTATTGGCCAGCTCTACGTTAGTTAGGTCAAGATCGTCTTCTATATTCTCATCTCACAGCCTTATTAGGTCTCAAGCTTTCTAAAAGAAGTTGTTGGCGACGGATACACGCCCAGCATTCACTGGACAAGTCCTCTCAGAAATATGGCAGGCCACAGCCCGTTCCAGAACGATGCTCCAGATACGTCAACATTCACCGTGCAGGATACGCAGGGACAGTTCAAGCAGTTTCTGGCACAGAAGGGATTCCAAGGTATCGAGTCCCTCGCAGATTCTGTCATCTTTCACATCGAGACCATCGTTTCTGAAGAGTCGTTGTACTCTGGCTTTACACTCAATGCGCATCAAGCGAAGAAGGTCAGTTTAACTCCGCGGAGAAAACTTTACTTCTGTTAACCAGGGATACCTAGGCCGAAAGACTATCTTTGACCCGACCGGCAAACATACCTTTGACTGAAGCCTTCATCTTGGCTGTCGTATGTAATCTTCATGACGAGCCTCGAATCGCCTTTTTCGATGACCCATGGCGGCACTATCATGGCGGATCTCTCTCACTGGAAGCACCAAGCGGCTACTGGGCACGCTTCAACGAAACCGCACGCCCTCTCCATGTCCGAGGTGCTGCAAACGTTCAGACTGTGTCGTCCGAGGATTCTGGTTGCTACAAGTATCGAGACCTACGTCCAGGGGAGATGCGACTGTTCAAGCTCTCCCCTGGAACGGGCGACGAACCTCTGAAAGGTAGTGTCCACCACGTGCTGGCTGATTCTGACGAAGAGTATCAGGCTCTGTCCTATGTATGGGGCGACATCAACTGTTCCCTGGCGCCACACTTTATCGAGACTTCCGAGGGAGGGCTCCAAATCAGCTTTTCGCTTCATTCCGCGTTGCGAGCTATCAGAGACCAAAAGACTGATACAATGCTCTGGATTGATGCCATCTGCATCAACCAGAAGAGCGTTACGGAAAAGGCCATACAGATTCGCCTCCTAAGCACAATCTTCCAGTCTGCTACGCAGGTCGTGGCTTGGCTTGGCCCAGAGGACCAAAGTCAGAACGCCGACATCGTAATCGACAACCTCAAGAGCATCACCCACTTTGCGCGGCAGTCGGAATCCGCATATTGGTGTACGTTCTTGGACAGCATCAAGACCAAGAACCAGTCTCGGGGTGGCAATATTGACACCTGGGCTGACTTGGATGCCTTCTTGGCTAGACCTTGGTTCAAACGTGTGTGGATCGTGCAGGAACTGGTGTTACCAGCCAAAGTCACTCTCGTCTGTGGTAAGTCAACGATCGACTGGGATGAGTTCTTTCGGGCAATTCAGCTCTGCGAACGCGGGCTCAACTCGGGAGGTGGTCATCACACCGACGATGTTCTCGTCCTTCAGCACGCCAGCCCCGCGTACGCACTGGGGATGGCACGAAAGTCACTCAGAGAAGGTCGCAACAAGTTTGGTTTTCTCCACTTGTTGGACATGTTTGCACACTGCCAGGCGACTAAGCTTGTCGACAAGCTATTCGCACTTCTTGGTCTTGGGTCTGACTGCAGTCAGCAAGAGTTCAACCCGGATTACGACTCCACCGTCCAGCAGGTTGTTCAGAGGTACGCTACCTGCTTTGTGCAGCGAGGTCAGGTGATGGACCTTTTGTGCCGGGCTGGGATGAACAAGGCGTACGGCTTCTGCTCATGGATCCCCGAGTGGACAAGACACAGCTTCCCCCAGACGATATCCACATGGGATGCCGCAAAGGGGACCTTCTATGCTGGCAAGCGGGAGCATCCGACGGCTGATATGCAAACGACATCTGACTCTAGCCTTTCGGTTTTGCAAGTCAGTGGTATCTCAGTTGACAGAATTACATCTGTCGCCACAATCAGAGAGATTGGCAAGGACGGCGCCGACTACTCTGGTACTGCAGACGACTTCCGCAACTTGATCGAGTTCATCCATTCATACCCATCTGGGGAGAGCAAGGAAGCCATTCTTCTCAAACTCCCCATTGGAGACGCTAGGAAGCCTCACTTGGAATCTACCACAGATAGGCTACGAGCGTACCGAGACTTCGTGAGTCAGGAGACACATGAGTGGCCCAGCGACCTAGAAGAGCTCGTGTGGGGAGACAAGAAGAGATCGCCCGAGGAGGACAGAGTGGTCAAGCAATACTGGCAGACTTCACAGGCGTTCATGAATAGAATCTCAAAGGCAGTTTTCTGCAGGACTGAGAAAGGCTACGCCGGTCTGGTACCGGGAGGATCACAACATGGCGACGAAATATGCACATTTGGTGGCGGCAAGGCGCCATTTGTGCTCAGGAAGCGCATTGGGGCGGAGTATACGCTAGTGGGCGAGTGCTATATACATGGTCTTATGCATGGCTCTGAGAATTTCCAGAGAGCCGAGGAGAGGGAATTTTGCATTGTATAAGCGAGTGATGTATACCGTTGGGAATTTCACGGATTGGTGAAGACTATAAGGCGTATAGGACACATGTGTAGAAGCTAGTCTGAGTTCTATGGATCTTGTATGCTCAATTCATTTTGTGGTATCATCAGAGAAATGATTTGATGAAACCTTTTGGAGATCGTAGAGATGTGGGCGGTGGGGACACTTGTTTGGCCTATTCGGGCTTCACATTGACCTTCTTCCAGCTCTCCCTCTCCTTCAGGCCATTCCACCACTTCTCGGTAGCTGGGTACTTGGCGAGAAGCTCACTAAAGCCGAAAGGCTCTGACGAGTCTCCGTAGGGCAAGTGGAACAGGTCGGCGAGGGTGATGTTGTCTCCGGCGAGATACTTTTGCTTGGAAAGGATACGCTCGTAGCCCTGAAGAGACTTGTCGAGATCCTCGAGCTTGGCTTTAACCACATCCTCATCAGGGGGTCCCAGGTTTAAGGCCTTCTTGAACACCTTCTCGAAGGTGATTCTGGTGGTGTTGGGGTCGAAGTAGGAAAGCTCAATGGAAAGAGCCTGACATGGTCAGCAGAAATCCACGCAACAGACCATTTTTGGGAAATGTTACCTGCTGGAACTCGGTATATGCCTTGAGGTCAGACTCGGGAGGAGACAGGTCGATGCCAGTGTCACGGTACTTGATGGCGATGTAATGGGCAATGGCTCTGCTTTCTATGACACAGTTAGCATTCTCCTCACCTAGATGGGGGATCCCAAAATCTCATCTTTCACTCACCGTAGACCTTGATGCCAGTCTCCGTGTCGATCAAAACTGGGATCTTCTTGAAGGGGTGAAACTCCTCAGCATACTCGTCAGTCCTGTGCGCACCCGCAAGGACGTCGAGAGCAGGCATCTCATACTCCAAGCCCTTCTCTTCAAGCACTGTGCGCACACGACGAGTGCAAGTAGAAGGGCCCCATCCGTAGAGTTTCAAGACCATTGTGTCGATTCAAGTTGAGTAGTAGGAGAAGAGTGATTGATGTTGATGTGATTGTTGAACAAGATGGTGACATGAGCATCACGATGGTAACTTATATAGCCCAGCCTCAATAATTCATAGGGCTGGAATTATTAATTTGTTAATAATTAAATCAGCCAACCTCGGCTGTCATCCTTCCCGTGCAGTGAGATTGGCCAATTTACGATCCATTTCGTGTCTCGTCCGTCATTCGGACGAGAATTGCTTCCGATCGATTGGTAAGTCGCACGGAGATAATTTGCAGCCGAAAAAAGGACCCGAAAAAAGAATATGATTTGATTCAATTGGTTCCGTTGGGGGTTTGATTTGTCAAGAGACATCTGTCTCTTTCTTAATGAGCATGTTGATCAGTGTTTTCTTTCTCGTAGGGTACAAGAGGGGGTTGGACAACGTGACAAACAGCACCATTTTCAAGACAGCAATGCCCAAGCATAAGTCTGCTTACCAAATGCAATGATCGAATTTCGCAAAAGATGACAGAGGTGGTTGTTGGCTAATAGATCATATAAAGTCTCTTCTTGTTCTACGGTATGAAGCTTGCACCGTGAGACAAGTTGTAACAAACATGGCGTCTATTCGACTTCCCAGTATTCCATCTTTTGGAAGCTCGAGATCCTGAAGAATCCAACAAGCTTTAACAAAGGTACCGCAGGACTACTTGTTGTAGCAAGCAAATGAGCTGATCTTGTCGTTGTGGTTGGCGGGGATGTTGACATCAACGCCGCCACTGCTCGCGGGGATGACCAAGCTACCTCCCTTGCAGTTGATATCACTGAAAGATATTAGTAATTTTTCGCTGGGAAATATATCGTTTACTTACTCCCAGAACTGGCACAGCACGTTGGGAGGGATCTGAACGTAGCTGATGCGGTCATTCCAGTAGGCGTCGTTGCCCACAAGGTTTCCTGACAGAATTTTATCAGAAAGCTGTCAATGGACTGGGAGACATGATTCATCAATCTTACTGCAGGTGGCAGCGGGAGTGGCAAAAGCCTTAAACTGGCCACCGCCGTTCTTTTGGTTCTCAAACACACCGATGGTGATGGCCTGGGCCATGCCGGCAAGAGAGAAAAGGGCCGCGAATTTCATGATGAGGAGCTTGTAGCTACTGGAAGTGAGACTGAATGAGTGATTGGAGATAGCTAGTGCAATCTAAAAAGCACCTACTTATATAATATAGATAATCTACCCTTTTCGACTCTCTCGTGAAGTCGGCTTTCAGCTGGCTAAGTCAAAGATCGGTAAGCGGTTTACTCAGCGTTTCTGTGGGGTAGCTTCATGTATCCCTACAAGGCTGGCCAGTAACATGCAGAGCAGCAGATGAGTTAGATCAATGTTACTCTGTTACCATAGCTTCTTAGCTTGAATTCCTGTATGACTAAGGTCTTGATTGACTGAAAAAGCGCTATCCGTAAGGTCTTGGTAACGGCAAGGAGCAGTAGCTGAAACATCAAATACGAATACCCACTTCAAGAAGCGGCCGTCCCAATCCTATCTTTAATATTATACGGGAAACGATGTGCCGGTATGTCAATCTCATCGGCAATTACACACCGTAGGAAAAATCCATCAGCGGCCGATCGTTGACCAAGCCTGGCTCAGCACTCTCAAGGCGCAGTCGGGCGTCGGATGTGGATGCTGCATGACTGGACCATATTATTCACTACTGCATCTGGTGCTTCCTCCGTCTCTATGAGAAAATTTCTAGGGTCGATGATACTGTTTCATGCACGTTGCCTAGACCGATGGAGAGGCGGGATTGAAACCGCACAAGGAAGTTGCCTCAGGGCATGCGGTCCGATAATCACGTTATTGATGCTGTATAAATGCATGCAACGTAACAGATATTGGGCGTCTTGCATACCTCCTAGTCAATAGGACAGGAAATTGAGATTGGTCTCGTGATGAGAACTCAGGCACCAGCCGCTTGCTCGTATAGCCCTAAGACCATCCTTGAAGCTGATCACCGTATTCGGGGTATTGGGTTACATGCTGCTACACCGGATATCCTCAGCCCCGCCGGATGTCGACCGCTCGCATCAATCATGTGCCATTGCACGATCAGCTTCATGATATTCACGTGCCGGGTTCACCGGTAGAGTCGCTGCAAGGCCTAGAACGAAGCGGTTAAATGCACTGTCTCGCCCTGTTAGTACGAGTGATACGATAAGGCGGGGAATCAATGCAGGGAACTTTCTTTCGCATCCCGGACCGTGTCCTTCCGGGTATGTCTTGGGAGGACGCCTCGATGTTCCGAAGCGTTCAGCTGGCTCAGCGATGTGACAGTCATGACAAGTTATAGCAACCCGAGAATGATACATGCAAAGGCGATGCATATTGAGAACGCCTTGCCAAGGTCATACAACAAAGATGATAGAATCGCGGGCCAATTGAGTATAAATAGGGTTGCCAGTCCACGGGTTGACAAACAACGGACACCACCAACTCTACAAACACACTAAAGTCGTTCAGTTCTTGATCCAGACATATTCACACTTTTTACAAAATGAAGTTTAATCTTCTCTTCCTCGCGGCCGCCGTCATAGCCGCCCCCTCACCAGACATCGAGCTCAGGGATGTCGAAGCCCGTGCGACATGCTGGAACCGAAGCAGTTGCTCCCGGACCTGGGCCGGCAAGTGTGAGGACTACTGCAAACCTTACAAGTTCTCCCACATGGCCAAAACCGACTGCGGACTCTTGTCGCAGCGATGCTGCTGCAAGACCAAGTAATGGCCTTGCTGCTTGCTGCCGCGTCTTCGCGGATGGCCCTACGCCTGCGGTGGTTGTGATAGGAGTGTGAGATCTGTGTCAGCCCCGGAGATCAGAAAAGGACAGCGTATAGGCATAGCTGGTCAAAGGACTACATTATAGTTACTGTGCTCCTTGATCACCTTCTCAGTCTTGAGTTATACATACACAGTTGATGTAAAATCAGTATTCCCCGATCCTTGCCGTAATGCTGTAACATTTTCACCGCCTGCCCGCTATTCGTAACCATGCACCAGCCCTTCCCGCCGATCAGAGGCTTTCATTCTTTGCACCCATACTCTTCAATACCCGAGGACTCCTGAATCCCCAAGGAGAATAAGGACCAGCTAAACAAGTGCACCCCTGACGTCACAGTAATCCCGCAGCTCCTCTTCCTTGGCAGCTTGCTTTGCTACGCGATTCGCTATGGGATTCTCAGATCTTGGTATCTTCCAAAACTCAACCTTCAAACCGAGCTCCTCAAGTCGTTCAAACTCCCCAAGTAGCGCCTGCCAGAGATCCCTGTTCTTCACTGCCTCTCGGTTGCTGGTCCTCCACCCATTCCATAACCACCGCAACACCCATTCGGTGGCGCCTTTGGCAACGTACTCTGAGTGGGTAGCAATGACCAGCTTGTTAAAGCCCTCGCCCGGCCAGTTGCGGAAACGGAGGGCGGCTAGGACGGCTCGTAGCTCCGCACGGTTGTTCGTGTGTTCGTGGTAGTCGCCCCAGGGGCCAACGAGCTCAAGACGTCCGGAAACCATGCCTGAATCGTTGCCGGATCTTGGTTTGAAGTAGATGGCCCAGCCTGCTCTGGGGTTGGCTCCACCACTGTCGAGACAGGCGCCATCAACAAAGATAAGGAATTCGTTTGGATTATCGTAACGGATGAAGCGATAAACGTGCGGGCTTGCCCGTCTGCCCAGGGCGGCTAGGAATAGATCGATAGGCAGATCTCCTACTAATGGCGGAACGAATTTAGACGGGTAGGCGCGTCCTCTGCCTATTATGCAGCCCTCCTCCCCCCCTGGAAGAGATTCGCAATCGATGACCGGGTCAGTCCGGCGAAAGTATCCTCGACCCGGGCGATCCTGAGTGTGGACCACAGAGCCTCCTTGGTCAGAAAGCATGTCAAGTTCTCCGGGCAAGTCTGGGTCCTCGACCTCGTCATCCATGAAGGTGTAATCGACGCAGCAGATTCCGCAAACGGGCAAGCCGTGACGTCCACAGGCTAAACGCCCATCCGGGAGCTCAATGGGGTTGTCCATGCTGTAGAGTACTGGTCGAGCTTAGTATGGATGAGGATCAATTTTGGCGGTGATGAAGTCGAACGTCACTGTGCGTGTAGTGTGCATCGTCACGTGACTGATGTCTTGGACACAGAGGAGGTGCTGCCGTCACGCTTTCCGCATTTGTTGCCATAGATGACGGCCACAATCATACCTACTTTTCTGAGTAAACATAATTAAGGATGCTTTATTTGGTGTTTTCCAGTTTGCTGCTTTTTCTGCGTTGGCTTCCATTCGGTCAAGCACATGTCGAAGTAGAGGCCACGTCACAGGGCCCATCTCCTGGAGACATTGAGAAGTCTTTGATGCCTCGGGGGCTTTTGCTATTGAGTTGTATTCAATCTCGCCAAGTATTTATGTTTTCTGACTGCCTTTATTTTTGAGTGCGATGACACGAAGATGCTGAGACCACTGGAAGCCAGTTCCAACATCAGGATGACGAATGCAGAAATAGGGGTCGAAGCAGTCTTTTCAAAAGAAATGAAAAAGCGAGAGAGAGAAAATCCTGCCTTGCAAGAAAACTTGGAAAACCACTTAGTACCACTTTCGAAAACCGTTTCGACCTCTCCGCAAGTCTCATCATTACTCCTTGACTTCAGCCACTATAGTCTCATCGTTCCTTTCGGCCCACCTGCAGAACGTCACCACCCAGAAGAATGATGACACGATTCCTTCCCGCATACAAAATGCTGTCCTCTTCCATTTCTTCGTCTCTTCATCTTTACCCATCTTTGAATGCTATGAGCAGCACTGGGGTTCCCGCGTGCGCGTGCGCACCAACGTACCAGGTCGTTTGCGCCTGTGGGGTATTAAGCTGCTCTAACTGTGGTGCCGTCCACCAGCCACGCCTTTACGTTGAAGGTCTGGACCTCCCTGCCGTTTCTTACCTCGGCAATCCCTACCCGAACCCTCTTTGTGCAAACTGCCGTGGCCCCCCTGGATCTGACTGGAGAGACTGGGCACTATACGAGGGTCACCCTTATGGACCACCTCCAAGTATCTTTACGCAACCCAGGGTGGCCAATGCTCAATTTGTGCCAGAAAATGAGCCATTACAAACGGGGACGGGGCAACCGAGCAATCAGCAACAGCCGGAGGGGAGCAAGCAAATCGACCGGATCCTTAACATCTCCAGGCGATTGAGAGGCAGTTATATAACGGGGCGCACAAGAGAATTAAGCGAAACTCACAATCAGACAAATCAGGGAGCAGAGCCTTCTTCCACGAGAAAAAGATACCCATGGTTCCGTTTATCACGGGGAGAGCCCGACCGACCAACAAGAACAACAGGAGAGATTACTACTCAAGGACCCGAGAGAGCAGGACCACTTTCAACAGGCGAGACACAAGCGAGGACCAGTCAACTAGAAGAAGAGCAACCCGCCGAAACCACGAAGCAATCCAAGGCAAGGGAGAAATATGAGAGGTTCAGGAGAGCCATCCAAGAAGAAAGACAACGCCAGCGTGAGAGAGAACAAGAGCGACGTGAAGAACAGCTTCGACGGAGACGCGAAATGGAACTTCGCCTTCGAAATGCTCAAGCATTTCTGGAGGAGCATCTCATGGCAGTAGAAGAACGACGTCGACTTGCCCAAATGGAACCAGAGAGACGAGAAAGCTTTGAGCGCGCCAGATACCTACAACTAGAAGCACAACAGCAATTTGCCAGAGTGGAACCAGAGGGACGAGAAGGTATTGAGCGCCCCGGACTACTACAACTTTTGAGGGACCGTCAGAAACAGGAGAGACAAAGGGAAGGAAGACAGCTACGGACGGCGACAAGGATGAGGACGACTGGTGGTAAAACCACGAAAGAGAAGAGCAGGGAGTGTACAATCTGCGTCGAGACTTATACGAACGTCCAGGATTCCTTTCCCTTCCCGCCCGCCCTCCGAGAATGCAGCGAACACCACGACATGGACGTCTGCGTACTCTGTCTCTGCCACAGTATCAAATCTCAGCTCGAGTCACGAGGAACTGCAGCAGTCAGCGATCTCAAGTGTCCTAATCTAAGCTGTGATCACATATACACCCACACACAGGTCCAGCTTCTGGCTGATCCAGACACCTTTGTGCTATACGATCAATATTGCCTTAACGCCAGTCTAGCAATGGAGCCCAACTTCCGGAGATGTCTTCGCGGGAGGTGTACCAATGGACAGATCTACGAAAATCTAGGCCCAGATTATCCGTCTAGAAACCGGATTGTCTGTAAGGCATGCGGTTTTGTCATGTGCTTCAAACACAACCGTCCATGGCATCAAGATCTCACCTGCGACGAATACGACCTACAGAGAAAAGATAGCGACAAAGAAACAGAAACCTGGTTAGCCAAAAGGACCAAGCCCTGCCCCAATTGCAACATCCCGATCGAAAAGGGCCTAGGGTGCTTTCACATGACGTGTCGAGCCTGTCGGTACGAGTTCTGCTGGGAGTGTCTAGCTGACTGGGGTATCGCAAGTTCCGGTCATGCAGGACACCGTCCAGATTGCTTCTTTCGTAAGAGAATGGCTCCTCCGCCTACGGCGATGGTAGGGAGTACGATTGTGGAGGCGGAGAGGAATAGAGACAGAGCGGCCCAGATGCGGGCAAGGATTGACGGTCTTCGTCGTTGATTTTCGCGCGTCTGAGTCTTCTTCAAGTATTATTAGACTAAATACAACAACGCTAACCCTTAAAAATACCTCAAGATCGCATCGGTGGCCACTGTTACTTATCGATAATAAGTGTTGACTAATAGTATAGTCCCTCCGATATGAGAGCTCTGGGACGAGCTGTGTCGAGCCACCCGAGGGTTGCGAAGTCTTCAACTTGTATTAACCGGGAATTTGCTATAACATTGATGCTTTGCCCCGCCTAACTCCTTGCAATTTCAGATATGATCCCAGCCATATTAACCAATGAAATCCGCGACTGCTGCCCTCTTGTCAGATCCTTCGTTCAGCCGAGGCGCAGACACCCCGCTTGAGATATGTGGCGGGGCTCATGGGCGACAACTTGACAGATACGCCACCATCACTCCAATCTTAGTCGGTCATTATCCTTTGACCCTAGACTCCGCAGTCTTGAGTCTGTTTAGTCCATCGCAGGGCCTTCTACATCAGAAAGCATGGCCATAATTGAAGAGTTTCCTCCTTTCAAACTCTGCGCCCTGTGCAAACGAATCTTCCCCAGTGCTGACGACCCAAACGTCGATGAGAGTATCCAGAACCATATATGGACCAACGATGAGGGTTACTGCTTTACGCAGACACGTGAGGAGATTGAGCGAGGGGCCATGGAGAGTTGTGAGTTCTGTACAGATATTGTTCAGGATGATCGAGCGTACAAGAAGGACCGCTTCCCAGATCGCCAAAACGAAACGACTAGCAAGGAGGATGACTATGAGTGGAGTGCCGATGAGAGCGACGGAGGAAGTGAACAGGAGAGCGATGTGGGATCACAGTCAGCGGAACCTAATGAGGGTCCAGACTACGTCGCCATGTTTTCAGGGCCGCGAGCCGGTTGGTTTCCCCCGATGGACGAGAGGCTCGAATTCAAGATCAAGTTTCACTCAGAGTACAAACACCTGGCAGTCTATGACTCCAATGATCGGTTGATAGGTCGTACGTGGTGCTTGTATACAACACCAGGTGGGCGCTTCCTCGCTACCACCTCGTACTTAAGCCTCTTCTCACTATTCCTACAGACAACCCGGCATCCAAGCTGATTCACGCCGAGGCAGCTCTAGCAGAGCTCGGATCAGTTGAGACTTTTGGGTCTATACGGAAATGGCTCGGTGAATGCGTTGACGGCCATCCCGAATGCCCCGGCGACACCCCAAGAGAGCTACCAACGAGGCTCATCATGGTCTCACCAGTCGAGGCAGAGCCCTCAGCACGCTTGTGCGAGACTCTCGGCAAGACAGGGCAATATTGCGCTCTTAGCTATTGCTGGGGCGGTGACCAGGTCCACAAGACCACCCGTGAGAAGTATGCCGCATATCTTCAAGAGTTGCCATACGAAGGACTGCCGCAAACCATTCGAGACGCCTTCCAAGTCGCCCGGTCCGTTGGAGTAGGATACATATGGATTGACTCATTGTGCATCGTCCAGGACGACAAGGAGGATGTTGCCCGAGAGATGGCAAAGATGTTCCAAATCTACTTCAACAGTTGCTTCACGATCTCGGCAGCCAGCGCGTTGACTTGCAGGGACGGTTTTCTCAAGCGTCTGCCTACAAACGATACAGGACTCTTCTTCCTCCCCATTCGCGTTGACAAAAGCACCAAGGGTTCCATCCTACTATCTAGGGAGGGGCCTTACTGGGCCATGATTGGGGCATATCCACAGCCTATCAACGATCGAGCGTGGACTCTTCAAGAGGCGATGCTCACGCCTCGACTTCTCATCTTTACCGGCATGGACGTCATCTGGAAATGCCAAGCTGGCTTTAAACCGGAAATGGCTGAGCACCCCAGAGCCGTTAACGAGATTCACATCGAGAATCGCTACGGCCCTCCCAACGAGAGCCGGTGGTTTCCGGCACTGGTGGATTGCGGTTACAACTTCATTTCCATAGGAGGCAATGAAGGACGTCCCTCACGGTCAGGCGATGACTTGGAGGTTTTGCAAGAGCAGTGGTGCCTTCTCGTCGAAAACTACACCAAGCGCAACCTCACCGTTGCAACAGATAAACTTCCCGGCATCTCCGCCATTGCCCGACTGATGGCTCCCAAGCTGAAAAGTGATTATCTAGCAGGGCTTTGGAGACAAAACTTGGTCTTCGATCTGATGTGGAGTATACATCGATTCCCCCGCCCAGTAGCTTGCAAGTCAGGCAGCCCATCTTGGTCTTGGGCTTCGGTACAGGGCACAATCGAGTATGTAGGTCGGAGGCTCGTGGTCAGCGCGGCTGAAGTCATCAGCTGCACCGTGGATTTGGTATATCCTCTGGATCCGTATGGAGCTGTCACAGGTGGTGTGCTCGAGATCCGGGGACATCTTACTCAGGTGTCGAAGGAAGACTTGCACAGGGAGCATGGCCGGATCGATTACAAGATGGACCACACTGGTCTATCCCCAAACCTTCGCTCCTGTAGAGGGACACAATCTCCAGCGCTCTGGTGCTTGACTCTCGGTTATGGGACAGGTATGATGAGAGGATGGTTCTACTCTCTCATTTTGGTCAAGGAACTGGGCTGTGATAATCGTTATCGACGAGTTGGGTTTCTTGAGACTGACGCCGGGTGGTCTCCAGAAGGGCGGGAAGATTCCGAGAAGGAAACGATGTCTATAATCTAGAGGGCTTATTAAGTAAGTAAGTACATAGCTATATTTCTGAGCTGTTCCAGCCACACCGATGCATAGGAGTATGCTCATAAAGGCGTACAAGAATAGTGAGGGAACCTTCGGTCGCAGTTGAAGTTTTCTTTTATTATGTTTAAAAAATAAAAACAAAAAAAGAGGAAAGAATAGAAACCTCCAACAAAATTCAGGTGCCATTGAATTGAATTTCTCAGTATCGATTGATCAAATTGGATGGGTTCAAAGAAAGAAACAAATCGCGTTCATCAGTGGCAGCTCCGCCCTTCTCTCCACTCATGACCTTCCCACTCCCCTCTGATATTCCTTGTCAGCTAGCGCAGCGGCTCATGGCCCTTGGTTATACAAAGCTTGGTCGTCTGTCTGAGTTCGCGACCTCAAGGCCTCAGTCGCCATGGTAACCCAATTCTCGATCTTCATGTTGGTGATAACTTCTCTGAGTTCACTTCGACCGGGGTCCAATATGCTGCTCTCCGAGTGGTGCGCCGCCACCTTTCTCTGGATTCCCCTCGCAAAGCGATGCCAAGCTAGCGCCTTTAAGAACCCCTTTAGGTATCTCTCAATTACGCCTAGGACTTCTGCAGTGGGGTGGGACTCGTCTGAGAGCTGCGATGATGCTCGACTCGAGCTTATGTCACTCTCAGAACCCGCCTCTGGTGGGGGTTTGACAAAGACTTGATCATCGCTTCCGATCGTGGATTTAGACGAGTCGCCAGAGCTAGATGCACTGTCTTTTTTGGAACCAGATATCTTGCCGGTCTTGCTGCTTTCTTGGCTGCTGTTTTTGTGGTTGAGTGTTGCCGAACCATCGACTTGGTTCTGGGGGACCGTCGTCACATCCGGTGTTACTGCACTGCCCAGTACGGATTTTTTTGTCGTGACTTCTGCGTCAGTTTTTGAAGTGCCAGGTACAGGCGAGCCGCGACGAGCATCCTCAGAAGGTTCACTTATGACCCTATGTGGTTAAAAATCTCCCAAAAACACCAGGAAACGGCAGCTTCCAGCAAGACTCACGCTATCAATTTTGGTCCCATTTCTCGGCGTTCACCTTGGTCGATGTGTTGTATAACTAGTACTCTAGAAGCGTCTGAGTAGCGCAAGCAAGACTACAAGGCAGATGCAGACCCTCAACGGAGCTGTAGCAACAGGCATTCACTATGATAGGGAGCCTTGGAAATCAGGCTCCGGGCCCTCAAATTGGCGCCCAAAGTTGGGCTTTGGGATGTATGCTGGGCGTCCAAAACAACCTTATCTGATATGGTGGCCATGTGGCCTTGGCTTGCAGAAGCTGAAAATGTACATATTCTCCCCTGCCAGTCACAGAGACCAGCTTTCATTTCTACACTTCATTTTCCCCAGCCATGACTTCAGAATGGTACGAGAAGAGTCTCGTAGCGTACGTGAATAGGTCACTCCAGAAGGAGGAAGATTTTCACTTTCTCCGATTCGAGTTCCTGCAGCGGCTCAACATCACTCGGTTGCAGGTGAAGCTTGGCAAATTAAAAACCAAGCTTGTATCTCAAGGTCAGATCAGTAAGCGAGAGCGGAAACTCCTTCGAAGGAAGCTCCAGCAATATGGTACAGAAAACCAGTCAAGTCACGCCTGGGCGTATTGCTAATCCGCGCCAGCAATTGCTATTAGAGACTATGAGTTTCTTCGAGGACACAGAAGCCTAGATAAGGAAGAAATGGGGGATATAAAGGTCCGCCTCAAGAGGTTTTTCCCACCTGCAAATCCTTCCAACGATCCGTTCGCTTCGCACTACGCCTACTTCCAGGACGCAGAACCCAAGATTGACCCTGTGCGCGGTGCATCCATGAAATACCTCCCATCGCGACTGACGTTCTCCAAAGAGGAACATGGACAGAGAACTCAAGAGTTCCGCAACGGGAAAGTTCCCAAACAGGTATCCGCGTTTGTGGACCGATCAGTGCGCTTCGTTGTCGCTGTCACTGGTGGCCTATTCCTTATTGTGCCGATGATCATCATGACGCTCCAGCCATCTACTGTCAAGAGCTTGATCACGGTCTCTTCTTTTGTGCTTCTATTTGCTTTGGGCCTTTCTTTTGTTGTACAGGTCTCCAACATCGAGACGCTGGTTTCGACTGCGACTTATGCAGCTGTGTTGGTTGTGTTTGTGGGCACAAGTGCGGGCGACTCCAGATGATGAACAGGCCCTGAGACCTGCTTGATGTTTCACTTGTAACTGGTTTTCATGCTTAGAAGAGACGAAGAAATTGTTGAGTCTCATCGCTGTTTGAATCAGTAGGTTATTTTGATAACTGAAATGGATATGCCCCAGATAAGTGTTTATTCTCTTGTTCTGAGAATACCGTCTAGCCGGCCACTCTCGTTCGGTATTGTCAGTGAACTTGATAACTTGTGGTAAAACTACACATTCCAGTTTCTAGGGTAGGTTTTTAAACTTGGCAGCTACGCAAGAAAATTGAACATGCGATAGCCACCTCTGGCTACACCTCAGATGGGCTCTCCCTTCGCCGCCCTCGCCATGTAGCAAGCCCGCCACGCACGATATTCCAATCTTCCTTCTCACTCCTGATTCGGCTCTTCTTCTTGTGTTTGGAGTTGTCCGCTTCCTCCTCCGGGTTTCCTCCTACGTGAGCGTTACGATCGATCTCTCTCGGCCATATGATGTACACGAGGGCCGCCAAGACGAAAACTTGAGAGAAGAGAGTGTTAGCAACAACAGAATCTTGCGAGAGGAGATGCCTTACAAATTGGTAGAGATGCCCAATATGGGACCTTGCGAATGGAATCAACATCCATGACAAAAAGGGACGACAGAGAAGATGAGGTTAACTAGGCGATTCTTGTTAATTGAAAATTCGGTTCAGATGAGGGCAGCAACACCTACGCAGAACGCTGCAATTCCGGTGAAGATCTTGACCGTCCGGCCTTGTTGGAAGCTCCGTCTCGCTTGCTCTTTGGCAATCTCGCTCTGCCTCACGCTCTCTTTCATATGATTGTTGGCAACCTGCTGTCGTGCAAAAAAAAGCGTCATTCCAACCTGTTGCGCCAAAGTCAGCAAAACCAATCGTACCACAAATAAAACCTTTCCTTACATTGGACTTGACGCGATCAGCAGATGCGATCATGTCCTCAATGTCGCTCAAGGCGTGGCTCTCCCATCGCCCGTCGTTGTCCACCGGCGATCCATTCTTCAGCTTCTCCCAAACCCTCATTTGATGTTTTCTGATTGCTCGGAGCATCTGAAGCTCATCGTGGATGTTTCTGATCTTGGCCGAAAGTCTGACAGCCTTTGTCCCCATCTCTTTTCCTTCTGGTCCGTCGTCTTGTTTTGCTTCGATGCGCTCACAGAAATCGTCAAATAGCTTGGCATTTTTCCTAGCCTAGGAGAGGTCAAAGAGGTTATCACAGTAGTCTTGTGCAGAGGAGCTTACAATGTTTTTGATGGAGTCAGAAAACATCTGATGGATGGAATGGCCTGTTTCGTGAATCGTTGACTTTGGCGTTCGGTCGTAGGCGTCAACGCAGTACGCAAAGATTGCCTCTGCCATGTCAAGCGGGGATCGCACCCATCTTGCTCGCTTTTCGATGTCGTCAATTGCATCTCCTAGGAATGGATCTTCATCTTGGTCAATTGAATGCGTGGTCGCCGTGATCAACCATTCTAAGTACGAATCGTCAGCAAAATCTGTTCCTCAGCATAGGGGTTGGTCGTCGACATACTGTGACCGGTTACCCACACCCACAGCTGATTTACCCTAACAAGGGTCAAGTCAGACCTTTCAGTTACACCTTCTAGATGCATGCTCTTGGCCACGACTTGATCTTCATTCCCTCGTGGTCGATCCTCGTGCAGGGCGGGCCTGGAAAAGCCGTAGAAGGACTCCTCAAGAGTTGCCGAGCCATGGATTGCCGAGCCTTCGTAGCACTTCAGCAGGCCATGATATGCATCGTAAGCTGCTTCCTGTTCGGCCTCCCTCTGGTCCCTTTCGTCTTTCTCCTCCTTCCGTTCATTCTGTGGCTGTGTGCCCTCGCAATCATCGTTCCCAGTGCGGTACTGGCCTCGGTGTTGTCTTGACAAGGCGACATATGGTGTCTAGACAGAAAAATGAGAAATCAAAGGCTACCTGTATCTGATGGATGCTCACATAGATTGCATGAAGATAACGGTCAGGGGTGCTGGCGTCTTGGGGCACCAGCTCAGAGACGCACAGGGGCTTCATGATTCGCGACTCGGATGTTGCATCTGGAATCTGAGACCAGCTGGATTCGAAGAATTCATTCACTGCAGATACGTTGTTAGACAGGCACGATGGCGCCTCGATCAAGATTCTTTTCAAGAGGTCCTGTGAGGTCAATCAGCGAGATGGCTTGTCAGGAGAGCCAAAGACGCTTCTAATGGCTCTCCTTAACCCGTGGCAAGCTCACATTCATCCAGGTCACCTAAGGAGATCAATCAGTTCAGCACTCGTTTCGATATTCAAGACAACAGCCAGACACTCACATTCGTTGCGGGAAGATGAACCCATGTGAAATGATCCTCTCCGACGCGATCTTCTTTCGTGACCGTGGTGCTTACCGGTCCTGTGCCGTAAATGACATCTTGGACGCTGCGGAATTCGGTCGCGAGGGTCAACCTGTCATCTTGTACCCTGCATTCAGTAACCGCCGCCTTGAGATCCCAGTTCTTCAAGAATTCATCTTGTTCGGCACCAGGTGTTGGCATCTCGGGTTTTTGTATCTCGGGTTTCTCCTCTTCAGGCGTGGTGGTTCCGGTCGTTTTCTGGAGCATTTCGAGCACCTCGGGTAGTTCCAGATAGGTTGCCCATTGGATTACGCTCCAGCTATTCGAGTCACCATGGGGTATCTTATCCCTGAGATGCTTCCTCCCTTCAAATAGACTCTCCAAGTAATGGTGGTTTTCTTCGCTCTGGGCTGCCCAGAGGAGTGCCTCAAGCTCATCTCCCGAGTCGAACATGCTTGCGCTCTCCGAGTCCGTCATCAACTCCAGGATCTCATCAGCGTGTGATCTGAGTGCCAGGCCCAAGGGTGTTCTTCCATGCGTGTTTTTGAGCCTATTCTGGCCTTCTTTCAGCACCTTTAGAATGTCTCTGTAGACACCCCAATTGCCAGCTTTCGCCGCCAGATGCAGCACTGTCTGGTCATCCATGTTCGGGAGTCCAGGGTCAGCGCCATGTGCCAAGAGCTTTGTCACGATGGCCGACTGTTTTTTCTTCCTCTCATCAGGGCTTTCATCTTTCTTCTCTGAAAGCTCAAACACGTAGTGAAGTGGCGCATTGCAGCCCTCGCTCCATTCGGCTGTCCAGTTGCAATCCGCTCCGGCTTCGCAGAGTGTGTTGACGCATTCGACATTTCTTTGTTCGCTCGCCGCGCATAATGGTGTTTTCCCATTGTTGTCGATCACGTCTATATCCTCATGCTCTTCCAGGAGAACAGCAACAACACTCTCGTGACCTCTTCGGCTCGCTGCGTGCAATGGCGTCTCCCCGTCGTTATCGGTCCTGTCAGTCTTGGCTTTTTCCTTCAGAAGAAGACGAACAGATCTCTCCTTTCCGCATCGGCTCGCGCTATGCAGTGGTGTTTCTCTGTCATTGTCGGGCTTGTCGATGTCAGCTCCTCTTTCTAGAAGAAGGTTCATGATATCGACACTTCCGTTCCGACTCGCTACATGCAATGGTGTCTCCCCGTTCTGGTCTCCCTTGTTGATGTTGGCCGGGTTCGCGTTCAGGAGCATTTCAACAATGTCCAGGTTCTCGTATCTGACTGCGGTTCGGAGTGGTGACCACAGATTCTTATCCACCATTTGAGTGTTGGCCCCACGGGATATAAGGAGCTCGACAACATCCTTGTGGCCTTTAAAGCACGCATCATCAATAGGAGTGGCTCTATCATTCCCTCTGGCGTCAATGTCTGCTCCACGCTGCAAAAGCAGGTCCGCAACATCTCTGTGTCCTCTCAAACACGCAAAGTGAAGAGGCTGTCGCCCGTCTTCGTCAGTCGCGGATAAGAGCGAAGTGTCGTCTGGTGAGACTGGTGTATAGTCCAGCAGTTGTCTGACCGCCCACAACATGCCGCGGTCAACTGCCATGTGCAGAGCGTTCTTGTTGCCATCATGGCTAGAGCACTGCCAGATCTGATCTTTTTCCAGTCCATCGAGAATCGCTTTGAGACGGTCTGCATTCTCCTCATCATTCTTTATGATCTGGAGGAACTTGTGCAGTTCAGTCTTCTGGTCGCTTGATGTGTTTTCGTCGGTCATTTTAGAGCAGGATGATGAGTATGATAGAGAACAAATGATAGAGGGCAACTTTTTCAGAAACCCATTAACGGAGCTTTATATGCACAAAAAAGAACTTTGGTTCACAGGCCTGTATGACAGGGAAGAGGGGGAATAAGCCTGTTTCTTGACGTAAGACTGGATCCAGCAAGCATCCCAGACCAGGCTTATATCGTCCCACTGCACGCTGTTGCTGGCGAATCTGCCATTTTCTTCATTCTCGGTTCGCTTAGTTCCATTTCGCATCCATGCCCGGACTACATTTCACTCTTCCAAAAAGCGTATTGGCCGAGCCTGCTGCCTGATTACGGGGCCTGATTATGCAGCTGAAGGAAAGAGACTTGGACAAAAGATCAAGTTGTGAGAAACGGGCTGGTCATTGGAGGAATGGATGAGGTCGGCTAGCCAATTCAAGCTTACACACCTAAGGAGCCGCTGAACCGGACGGAGAGGGAGCCAGGCCCGGAGCCGACCGGGTCATGGGGTGGGGCCTCTCGGCTCGGAGTTGGCCCCGGCACAGCAAAGACTGGATGAAAACGCGGGATAGGCCAAAGGCCATTAGGTGCATGCGACAACACCTGATAAAGCTGGGATGAATTAAAATAGGACGGGGACCAATACCTCAAGATTTGTACTCAGCCAGCAACATGAAAGAGGAAAAAAAAACCGAATGTGTGTACTGGGAAGCGACACTCAAGCTTGGCTCCCAGATGGGAGTAACATAAAGCAATAATTGGTGTGAATAGAATTAGTTTAAGTATGCTTGTGCTTCGTATTCGTTCGTCTATTATTCTATGATGCAAATGTATGCGCCTCGAAATTGCCGCTATGCCCTGCCAATGCCAATGCTAAAGCAAACCCCATTAATGATGCCTAAATGATCCCGCTCCAATCATTACACACGCCATGCTAAAACCCAGTTCTAATGCTTACTGCTGCTGAGTGTACTCGCAGCTGTTAGGGGTGGTAGTCTTGATAGTGCGAGCAGTAAAGCCAAGGCAGCCCTTGTTACCACCGGGGTTGGCATTGCCGGCATCGACCCAGACGCTCCAGGAGCCACCAGCCTTCTTGCTGTTGGGGCAGGCGATGAAGCCAGCACCGTTGAAGTTCAGGTTGCCGCTCTTATCGATCTTCCAGCCCTTGCGCTCGGCCTTGCTGGGGATACCCTGGGCACCGGTGGTGTAGCCCAGAACACCCTGGCCCATGCCGGAGCGGTCAACGTAGAGTTGCTGAGGGGGGTTGTCGGTCTTGTAGAGGTAGAGCTCATCGCCGACGAGGTTGAAGACGGCGTGGTTGTCAGACTTCTTATCGCATGAAGCGCCTTGCTTGGCGAGGTTCAGGGAGAGGAAGCTCTTGGAGGCTTGGATGGCGCTGAAGTGGATGGGGCTCGCTGAGCGAAGAGCCATGGCCTCGAATTGGACAGGCTTGCTAGGCGCGGCGGAGACGATGCCAGCAGCGAGGAGGGGAGTGAGGAGGATAGCCTTGATCTGCATGGTCACTGTTGTTGTGGGGTTGGAGATGTTGTTGAGTTGAAAGTTGCTTGGTGGAATTGGAAAGTTGGGAGAAATTGTTTGAATGGGTTGAGCTTGTTGAGAGAAGATGAGAGTGATGAGTGATGAGATGAATGAATCTTTGTCGTCTCCCTGAGTGTCTTATATACACGAATGTTGTCTCCATCTCGTATTCCTTGGTGGAGTTGTTTCATGGGAAATGTCCTAGCTGATGCTATTCCAAGAACCCAGCCTATCCTCGCCTGGCACCTTGCCCCGAACATGTTTCTTCGACCGGGTCACGCGGCAAGCGGCCAGGCCGGTCGACGCTGATCTAGAACTAGGGTTCCCCGTATCCTCAAGGCGCTAACTGTGCTCAGCCCACGCTAGCACCGGCAGTTCCAGCCTCGGATTGCTATTCTTGGTGTCACTAATCCTTGTTTGGCGCAGGTCCGCATCTTTACGGAGATGTGATTGGTTGTGCGGGCGGATGCTGCCGAGGGAGTTGGGCTTTGGGTGCTGACATTGGTTGAGTCGGTGAACCAACACTGAACGTGTTGATGGTTCGACGTCATGTAGACACGGAGGAGCTATGGTAGGGGATTTTCCGATAGTTTGGTCGAGGGAGGCTGAGGCGGGTTGGTCCCTGGAGACCCTGAAAAAGGTTTGGCACATTGCATTCCGATCGATGTTTCTTTAGCCACCCACAACGATGATTCAACCCCTTTCGGACCTGAAATCGCTAAAGTGGCTGGCTAGGCTGGCTTTTATGGCTTACAATGTGCCACCGCCAGTCAGATGTGGCGCGTGAGGCTTGTCCGTCGGTCCTGAGCGTCAAGCGGGAGCCTAACTTTACGTGAAAGACACGTTACATGCGCTTTCATCCAAGCGTTGAGAGCTTGTTCAATTAGACTCTCGGCACTTGAAAGGAAGACGAAGTCGATGAATGGAGTAAAATCTAACTATGAAACTTTGAAGACAGACTGATCAAGGAACAAAGGAAAGTAACACATGAATGAAGCGAGAGTTCAAGACAAACCAGACAGCTACCCTACACCATTAGGACGCGTGTCCTGCGCGTAGCGACACTAACGCGTCGCGGACCTCGGGGAAATCCAATTCCTCAATACTCTCCTTCCAAAGCCTATCCATGAACCTTTTCCCTTCTTCCGTGTACATAAATGGGTGGTATCTGGTCCAAGTCAGCATAATTGATCGCGTTTAGTTGGTGAAGGAGCACACACGGATGGATCTCCCAATCGCTGATCAGACTCCCGTGACTTTCCTTGCCTCGAGTCACAGCGCCATCGACATATCTCCATGCTGCATTGTTCACGGTGGTGCCCAAAGCCTTTGTCAGTGGCCAGGCCATAGCCCTCATTAGCAACGGAAGGTTGCGGAAGAAACTGGTGCCCGGTGTGAAGCTTGGATCAACGACGTTGACAATGACATCATCGGCCTTTGTCAATTGACTCAACTGAAGGGTAAGCATCAGAACCAATCCCTTGCTGGTGTCATATCTCTTCTTGGCAATTGAAGAGTTCCATCCTTTCTCGTCGCGAAATGCAGAAAGAAGGGGATCGGCATTGCGCTCAGAGAACTCGGCTATCAGAGCTGCACCAGATGCTACGAGCATGAGCCGACCTGGAGAGTCGGATGGGGTCTTTCTCTTGAGGATTGGGAGTAAAAGTAATCCAAGTAGAGCGGTGGATAGGTAGTTGACTTGAAACATTTCCTCGTGCCCGGTTGATTTGTTGACTTGCAAGTCGACGTTCATGATGCCGGCGCTGAGGAGAGCCATGTCTAGACGTGGTAGGGTTGCGCACTTCTTGGCAAAAGCCCTGATAGACTCATAAGAGTCCATATCCAGCTGCCAAACATCGATCTTGGCCTTGGGGTAGAGTTTTCGCAGTGAAGCTGCAGCCACGTCGCCTTTCGCGAGGGTTCGAACGGTGAGGATGAGGTGGGAGAGGTTGAGGGACAGCAGAATCCGGCCACATTCTAGACCAATCCCACCATTTCCGCCTGTGATGACAGCAGTTTTTCCAGCAACAGTGTTGTTCTCGAGTACTGGCTTGGGATTGGGTCGTATTTGATGTTTGACAAAGATCTTGGCGAATGTGTAGGGTTGCTCTGGTGTTAGAGACAGGGAACCTCCGGGAGCCGCCATGGTTGATTCGACAATGTGTCAATGAAATTGAGGCTGAAATTGTGTAATTTGAACTGACTTTTATCGAGTCTCGTTATATAATTTATATCACACCTCTCAGCACTCTGATATATAATGCCTCCCCCTTCGCTCTCACTAACAAATTGGCTGGCATGGATCACGAACCCTGACTTATCCCAAAGAGGAAAACAATGTGGTCGCCCCACTTCTCACTCTCACCCCAGCTTCATTTGTCAGATGGACCTTGACCTCACGTTTGAGCATTAAAGCAGGATCCTTGCCTCTCCTCTTTCTCTTCCAGACTTTACTGACCAGATTGATACCCTAAAGAAGACATCAACATGCCAAAACAACTCGCCTTTGTCATGACCGACGGGTCCGGAAGAATCGGATCCCCCGAGCGACAGTTGATCCGACGCCATTGCATGCGCCAGAAGAATAAGCAGCCTGGGTCCCGGAGATCTAAGCGCGAAGCTGCTCGAGCAGCTGCTCAACTGTCACACGAATCTAGACCAGAAGTCCAAGAGATAAATAATTCATCCGACCGATTCTCCACTCGGGATCGAGTTGCGCCGTCCCCCGCCTGGCTTGAGAAGGTAGAGCAAACACGACTCTTCGTCAAGCGATGCATACTACCACCGCCGTCTGACTGGGCACTATTTCACTTCCCAGAAGGACTAGATGTTTCTGACCAGAAGCTGATGCATCAATGTGCGTGGTGTAATCTCAATGATGAAGAAAAAATGATGCTGACCAGATCGCAGACTGTCAGACAACTGGCTCCACAGGGATCATTGATGGCACCAGTCAATTGATGAGAATTATCTCTAGAACAAAAGAAATCGAACAGCCATGTGTTCGGGCACAGCTATTTAAGCTCATGTCGTTAGGATTATGCGACAGGCCAGATGTGAAACCGGATAGTTACATCCGGTCACACGAATGTTATGCGACACACCCCCCAGCGTTGAGTGATCAAGTCAACGCTGTCGGAAGCTATCACAACCTGCCATATGAACATCATCGTCCTATTTCATGGTGGTCCCCTCCAAGTCTACCTGCCTCTTGATATCGATCAAGCCCAGCATCGTCCGAAAGTGCTCAAACTTCGATCTCGACAGGGCTTTCGTCAAGCCGTCGGCTGGCATCTGATCAGTCTTGAGATATTCCACTAGAAACCTTCCCTTCTTGAATTCCTGCTTCAACCACATGTTCTGGATGTCAACATGTCGCAACTTCGTCGTAATTCTCTGATTCTCCTCAACCACAAGTCGGATCGACTGAAGATTGTCGCAGTATATCTTTAGAGGTCCAAGATCAAGAGAGATGTCCCTGAGTAGGCGGTCTAGGGCGTAGCTCTCCTTGGCTGTTCTCTCTAGGCTCAAGATTTCTGCTTCGGTTGTAGAAGTCGTGACTGTGTCTTGGAGACCAGCCTTCCATACGACCGGTCCGTTGAACAGTGTCATGACATATCCCTGCGATGAGCGTCGTGTCTCGATGTCGTCTGCAAATGACGCATCACTCGCGATCACAAGAGCCTCTCCTGCGTGCATCCCATCATAGACGATGGCAAGGAATCTCGTTGTGTAGAGGTAACGGATGCACTGGTTGGCTGCAGAAAGGTGTTCAGGCGATGGGTTTGTCAAAAACCTTGCAAGCTGGGCTGCTGCATGCGCTATGTCCGGCCTGGTCATAACTGCGATATACATCAAAGACCCAACTCGTTCCTGATACGCCTTGATTTCTTCCTTGGACGCCTGTCCGTCATACTTGACAAGAGGGATTGTTGTGATCGGGATTGATGGCACTCGAAGTTTTGAATCGCAGAGCTTGAATTTTCGTGCGATTTTCTCAACGTAAGCGTCTTGGCAGAGGTAGATCTTCCGATTTGGTCGATCCCTGATGACTCTGATGCCAAGATACCATTTGAACTCTTCTTCGCGCAGGTTGTATTTGGATTGGAGATGTTGAACGAGGTCGCCGACTGCCTTCTTTTCTTGCCGGGGGCTGAGGATCAGGATATCGTCAACATAGATGAGAACTAGGATCTTGCCGTTGGTAAAGACGCAAGGTTCTTCATCCGTACGATCAATCCCTGCTTCCTTGAGCGTCTCAGAAATCTCGTTATACCAAAGGAGTGGAGCCTCGCGAAGACCGTAGAGGGCCTTGTCGAGTTCCGCGATCATGGTCGACGTTTCCCCTGGCTTCAGGAAGCCAAGTTCCACATATCCCTTTGGAAGCTGAACGTGGACAGGTTCGTCCTTCTTGAGGTCGCTGTAGAGGAAAGCGTTGCCAACGTCGAATTGTCGAATCTCGAGATCGAATCGTGCCGCTGTTGCCATCATGATCCTGAAGGTCTTTGCTGCGAGCGTGGCGGCATAAGTTTCTGGTTCCCCATCACCGTCTTGGAGATCCCCACGGACACAGATGCGAGCCTTGCACCTTTGGAGGTAGCCATCTTGATCGAACTTATAGGTGAACACCCACTTCAGCGGAAGGGGTAGTCCACGAGCTTTTTCGCGTTCGACCAGTCTCCAGGTGCCTCGTCGGAGGAGATCGTGTAATTCCTTTCTTATGGCTGCTTTGAATTCTGGACCCATTGGGTGGTCTTCTAGATCCTGATATCGCTTGGGAAGTCGTACAAGGTCGTCCCGGTGAAATCGATGATCTCGTGCCGTCTTGGAGACTGCGGCGAGAAAAACGCTATGAAATGTTGCGAGGTTTCCCTCTGGATGTTGATCGGTTGGAAGCAGTGTAGTGAAAACGCTGTGCACGTTATCATCATACCTCCGATTTGGCTTTGGTGTCCGGTCGCTCTTGCGAGTTGGTTGGTCACCGTAGAGTTCCTTTTGGCTGCGACGTGTGCGCGTGGTGCCGCGAGCTTCAGGAGTTGTTTGGTCACCTGACGGCTGCTTGTCCGGTTGCATGCTGTTGCCTTCTGAGGAAGGTCGCCGGCGTGGGTTCAGCGGTTGAACTACGATCATGTCCCGGGTGACTCCTTCAGGACTAAGATCGCGTGACTCAGTTGAACTTGAAATGTCATGACTTGGCTCGATGTCTTCGAATTGGCTATCTGGTGATGGCGCAACTGATCTTCGTGTCGTGGTGCCATGATATTCGTCAAGCTCACTGTCTGGACCAGCCTCAGGCCGTTGTGCAGGTGAGCTCGGGTCTGCTGGCAACGGCGGGTCTGGTGTTGAGGTGTTCGAGCCGGTTGACCCGGAAGCTGGTGAGGCGTCCCTACTGCCCAGCTGTGGTGTTGGGTCCGGCGTCGGAAGAATTGGTGGTTCGCCCGGAGGTGTGAGAAGTCTTTGCGATAGAGGCTGTACAGGCTGTGACGTGTTGTCTGTAGTTCCTCTAGCGTCTTCCACCCCCGAGTTCGAACCGTCTGGGCTGAAACCCAAGATGTGGTCATCGAACTCATAGAGAAATTCGTCCAAGATCGTGTCCCAGTCTCGCTGAGGAAGTGGCTCCAATGCCTGCGGTGTTGGCCTGTATTCCACGACCGCTTCCATCTCGAGCTGTTCCTCTTGCTCTGGATCAAAGAATTCCCCCTCATTGAATCGTACGTCTCGGGACAGGATAACCTGATTGAGCTTGGGGACCCAAATACGATAGATATTGCTGGCATGGTAGCCAACGAGATATCCAACGTGTGCTCGTGGGCCAAGCTTGAATTGATTGATGTCTTTCCCGGCCTTATAGCGGCTGTTTAAGGGATATGCTTTGGATCCATACGCATAAATCCCTCGCCAGTCTGGTCGGAAGTCCTTTGTTGCATCGAAATCGACATTTGGCGGTCTATACCATCGAAAGTGCTAGTGAAACCAGCGGTCCATTTTCTCCTTGGGTGACATCCACTTGTTCCTTCGGCTAGGAAGGATGTTGTGTATCCAAGTGGCTGCACGGTAGAATTCTGGCCAGAGATCTTGCGGAAGACGCCCAATCATACACCGCATCCGTAGCTGATTGATTCCACCAGGTCGTTCCGCTCCACCAGTCGGCTCTTTGGTGTGCGACGGTGGGAGTTCAATCTCTATTCCTACCTCTGTGGCCCAGATCTGAAACTCGGAGTCCCTTTGAAAAGGTAGATTAATGATGGCCCTTTCGTTGTCGATTCTGATCTTGCAGATCGATGCACCCGTGTGTCGCTTGACTCGGGCCTCAAAGTCCTTGATGATCTTGCTGACTTCCGTCTTTGAAGCCAAGGACCAGGAGAACATCATGCCGCTGAACTCGTCTGTGATTAGCAGAACGTAGCGGTGTCCATTGAATGCCGCAGGGAACTCGAAGATATCGACGAAGATCCGGTAAAACGGTTGTCTTGACCGGTCTGACGATTCCCTGCGGGAGATAATCTCGGTCGCCTTGCCTGTGCCGCAGGCCGTGCATTGAACAGTAGTCGGACCCTTGATCCGGACTCCCTTGGTCTGTAAGACAAGTTGTTCAAGCGCTTGCGGCCCTGCGTGGCAAGAGCGAAGATGCCAGATTTCGGAAGAGTCCAACCGTGGTGGAGGCGGAACCCTTGAAATCGCCATTCTCTGTCGTCTCGGTTTGTTCGCTTGGAAGGAGGAGAATACATCTTGGAAGGCGTTGAACACGGAGATCAGTGATTGCGGAAGCTTAAAGTAAGAGCGGGAAACTGGCTTGTATTCGACTACATCGAGGTCGTATTGGTCTGTGAGTCGACAAAGGATGTCGTTGTCCTCATAGGTGCCCATTCGGAGCGTATTATCGAACCCACAATGCCATAATCCCTTCCTTGCAAGCCTTTTCGCGCTGACGATGTTCGTGTGGAATCTTGGCACATACGCAACATCAAGGAGGACAAGAGCGCGCGTATTTCTTCCGTCTTCGCCATCCAGCACGTTTTCCATCCTTCGGGTGCCTCGTGCTTCGACCTTCAAGGAACCTTCGCCGATCATAACATAGTCGGTTTCCACAGCCTCGCGGATATCGGTCAGCAGATTCTTGTCATTAACAATATAAGTGGTCGCTCC